GCTTTCAGTATACAAGTAGATTTTTGGTTAGAACAAAATATTTGCTTTGCTCTCCTAGATCTTCATGTCTTATGGCATTTCTTTGCATTGCTTTCAACAAGCTTTTAGTAATCATTTGGCACCTTAATGTGCCAAATCATCAAACGGATTGTTCCTACCCAGAGAGATTGGCTTTTAAAGTTCTACTTGAATCACCATGTTAACCTCTGCCATAACAGTGAATGACAATCAGTAATGTCATTGTCACTCTATGGCAATATCTCAGATACCACTGCCTACAGGAGAAAAGTTTCAGGTAACTGCAGCATGAGAGGTGGTGCTTACATTATGCTCCTTACCCCTGTGTGCTCCCAGGCACCACCAGACATGGGAGACCACAACCTCAGATGATGAAGTCTGGAAGCTGGAATGCAATTTCATGTATTTCTTAGCTATTGTGTTTGGTTTTATTTTTCACAAGTAATGGAGATGAGAAAAATTTTTGCCTACAAATAATTTGTTCCGGATGCCCGACTTTTAAAATTTATTCATTGTTCTCCAATTTGGGAATATATATATGAATTTTGTTGTGAGTTTTATGAATCCCTTATTAAAAGCCGGTTTGTTATATAGAGGAGAACTGTTAATAATACTGCATAGTGAACTGTCCAGGGCATAGGAAATCACGTCTGTCAGTTAGTTATTCATTGGCTCGGGGTTTTTATGCACGTTGCTGTAATACTTTCTCCTTTTGAGGCTGTAGGTCAGCTGTTTTGTTGTTAAATAGTGCAGCACAGATGGCAGTTACCAGAAATAAAGTAGTGCAAATATGAAATGATGCTGATGCTTGCACCTGTGAGAAAGCCATCATTTATCAAGCCAGATATTACTCACACACTTATTTGCTTATTCTAACATCTTATGCTTTTAGGAGCTGAATTTCTGGAGTGAGATTGAGGCCTGCTTGCTTTATGTTAAAGAAGGTGGCTTTAGGCTGTCACTGCATGGCATGGTGGCCTTGGTGCTGCCACATCAGGAGGCTGTGGCCTGGCCTGGGCTCGCCTGCTGGAAAATGCAGCAACTGTTATGCAGCTCTACCAAATTCAAGCAATTTTTTCTCAGGATTGTTCATACTTCTAACTTGCTGCAGGAAATCCATCAATATTTAGTGAAAGTAATGATGATAAAATCTGGTTCATCAGGGGGAGTGGTAAATAGCCTGATAGTATGTTATTGACTTACTGATTTTTTTGATGTGGACCAGTCCAAGGAAATTGATCTGTCTGCTGGAATAATCAGCTGATTCAAGTTTAGAAGCAGAATCTTACATGGTCAGAATGCGCTGTGACCATCTGAAGCTCGTGAGCAAAGTGGTGTTCTCGTCTGAGTTGATCACCAGCAACTCAGTCTGTCAGTCTGCCCTTGCTGGGTGTTTGTGCTTCAGTGCACTACTGCAGTAAAACGCAGTCCTGGTGTTGCACAAGGGTTTGGTTGTTGAATTATCTCATGGCCTTTTGAGAGATGCAAGCCTTAGGCTTCCTCAATCAGTGACAATGTGTAGAGGAAAGCCACTTGAAATACGTCAAGTCATGCTATGTTGGAATAGAGAAATGCCATGTTTTAGCACAACTGGGTTTTGTAGCTGTTGACTACCAGCAGAATGATTGAACTAAAATGCTCCAACTTGCAGAATGGTATTCTGTATGTGCTCAGCATGAGTGTGCACCCTTTAGGTGTGCTGCTAGAGAATTGGTGTGTTTTGTGTATCTTGTGGCTGATAATCCAACCAGAAAAAATAAATGATGCTGGGAGGAATGTTAATAGCGCTTGCTTTCGGTCTTTATCTTTGGATGAGGATACTTAATAATGGCTCAGAGGTTTGGTGTGTAAAAAAGAGGTTTTGGTACCAAACATTAAGATTTTGGCTAACCTAGTAGGTTTCTTTTCTTTTCTTTTCTTTTCTTTTCTTTTCTTTTCTTTTCTTGTCATAAGTATTATGAAAACAGTAGAAAAAGTAGACATGATTGTAAATGGCTCCTAACTTCAGTGAAAAGTGTATTTGGTGAGGTTTAGTGATACATTACAATGTCAGAAATATCTTGATGTACATATTTGACATATTATTGACAAACAAATGAGACAGAATAAGAGAGAAACGCATACAACATCCTTCTCCATGAGATTTGAGAAGTACTTCAGCCTGGAACAGATTCCTGAATTTCCTTTTTCTTCATGAATCTTGTTATCCCTATTGTCCTGGGTATGTGATGACCTTAAAATGAGTTGTTAGACATGCTGAATTTAATCCTTGGCCCTTATTCTGGTCTTCCATGAGGGTTTCTTTGCAAGTTTAACTTCTGAGTTTAACTTTTCCTATAAAGCAAATGGAACAATGCATGTGACCTACTTTGAAATAGTTCAAAAGAAAATCCAATTTTTAATAAGCATTGTTCATTAAATATTATTTACCATTCATTTTCCCTTAACTGGATTTAAAAACAAGTGGTGCTCAGTATAAGTTTCATTTTGCTCCCTTTCAAGTAATTTAGTACTTCTTAGGTCTGTGGTTTTATTTTTTTTCTGCTGAGATTTGTACCATCTTCCCCTTATTATATCACAGGCTATCACAGCAAGTTTTAAATAACCTAAGCAGCTACTGTGGGATTTTCTTTTTGGCATAACCATTCTGCTTGTCTAACCCAAAGCTGGTAGTAATTTTGTTGCTATTTCTATCTCAGTGTCTGTTGTTGTTATTTATTTATTTTTTTTTCAGGTACTCTCATAACTCCTATTTTTTGCATGGAGTTAGAATTTGCCATACCTTGCCACATATTCCAGGATTTTCCAATTTGTCAAACTGCAATGTGTTTTCTTCTTTTCCTAAACATTCCAAGAAAGGAAAGATGAGGTGAAACTACCGTATCAGCCTGTTCTGTCAATGTTTAACAAATCTGAGTTGGGATGGAGAACGTGCGTTTGAAGTCCATCCTCCCCAGTGCCCCACTTTGGTTCACACTGCAGAGTGTTCATCAGTTTGATTCTTTGCGTTGAAGAGGTGCTCCTGGAGTGCAGCAAGCATTTTCCACTCACAGGGAGGCAGCCAAACCAGGGGGTCAGGTGTTCTAAACAAGGCTAACTCAAGTTAGAAAATGCACACAGAATGTATGTTAGGCCTTCAGGACCAGCATTTTTTTGTTTACAAATGCATGTCTCTTTGGCCACGTCACTTGCTGATGCAGACCGCTGAGCTGATGCAACTGATTATTTAAACTGCTTTTGTGTACAGCCAGTCCTCCTGTGAGAAGGGAGGACTTGGTTCCAGCTTGGAATCTATTTTAGCTATAAGTTTTTTCTGTAGAAAGTTTTTGTCTTAGTAGTTCAGACCTCTTACGTATGCAGGTGTGCATGTTTATTGCTGTGGTTGCTTTCTACCAAACACGTAGAGTAGTATGAGCATATACAAGTTTGAGGTAATATTTCTGATATATTTTCTGACAGTAGTTATTTTCCACTGCACTTTTTCATCTCGTGTCTTGTGTATGTATTCAAAAAGTCGTAAATACTTGATGTAAGTTATAGCCATCAAAACTACTCTTGAGATGTAGTGTCTACCCTGCAAGTTTTGTCATTTCTGCCATCTGCATTTGGCTCCAGCACTGACAACTAGCTGGACGGTTCCTAAGGTCTGAGCTTTACATCTGTCTACATTAATTCAACAGAACAGTTTGCAGTTAACCACAGTATTGTGCATTTTAATTTTAATTACTGGGGTTTCTTTTTGTTTGTTTGTTTTTGTTTGTTTGTTTTTTAACTCAAACTGAGAGCGTGAGAGTAACCTTAAGAATTCAGGCATCCCTTTCCTTGGAACCGTCTTTCAGTTCAAGCCCTGATTACAATGCCTGATTCAGGCACTGAACACACCAATGTCTGCCTATGGATTACAAGGTATGAGTAGCCTGTTCTGCTGTGAACAGGATGGGTCAGGTCAGCTAATTACCCCTTTTTGCTCCAAGGGTAAACCAGCCAGGCCTAATGTTGACAAGCATCAGACTGATTCTTTAAGAATATTCAGGGATGGATACTGGCAGAGGGAAGCTGTGTAATCCAGTGCTTAATTAAGATTGCAAAGATTTTCTTTTTTCCTAAAAATTTAGCCACAGTCTTCTGTTCCTTGACTTACATTATTAACACATCCAATTTCTGCAGCAGCGTGGAGAGTGGTTTATTTCTTTTCCTCCTTTCAGTTGTGACTGAAAATCTGGTATCTTGTCCCTGCTGTAGCTGTCATCTTTTTTGAATGTCACTTTTCTTGGGAGTCTCCAGTTTGTCACATTCCATGCGTGGTGTTTGGAAGTGGACATGAAAAGTTTTGATGGAAATGTTTGATAATATGAAGTATCTATAAAGTGGGCACGATGAAGCAGGAAATTTTACTTCATCTGATATTTGTACATCCTAGATGTTCATATGGTGCCTTATGGGCATGGTGCTTGCTTTTTAGGGGTTACTGTGTTATAATTTCAGTATTTGAATCTTGTCTCATGTGTAAATCTGTTTCTGTATAGCAGCTGCAACCTAGACACTCATTTCCCACTGTTTGCAATTACAACTGACAATATGAAACTTTGAACTTGCTGTTACTGAATTCCCCTGTTTTGCAGGGGAAAAAAAGCCCTGCATCTGTTTTAAATAACAGAGTATTCCTCTTTCTGTAAAGATGGCTCTCTTAGCTGCAAGGCTGGGAAAACTGAAAGCTTCTGCATCTTCTTCCTCTATGCTATTTTTTTGTAAGTTAAAGAAAGTCTGGTTTTCTACATGCAGAGTTGGATGTGTTGACATGGGATGTGCTGTTATTACTGTGCAGATATTTTAGGAAGTTTCTAAAACTTGATGGTTGAAAAAAAGATGGGGATTTTTAGTCGCTTTTATGGCAAAATAATATGCTATTGCAAACTTCCAGAGCGAGCTACCATCATATCTCTGTGTCTATAATAACCTTGTGTTCTTTTCTAAAATTTTAGATGCTGGCATCACCATCAACATCAGGTCAGCTGTCTCAGTTTGGGGCAAGTTTATACGGGCAACAAAGTAAGAATTACTTTTATTGATTTTATTAGATGTTCTAGTTTTATGCTCTTTGGATAGGCATCGTGTCGGGTTTGGCATTTTTGGTGATTGTAAAGAAGACTGTGTAATGTCAAATGTGTAACTTCATTTATTTTGGAAAACACGTTTTTGCATTGTCTGTCATCCATTTCTGCAGTGTTTGGTAAACAAGGTGTCACGTATTGACACCATGTAACTTAAATATCCAAATACAGTCATCCTATAAGGAATATCTGGGACTTAACTCACTGAAGAAAAACTAAGGGAGGTGAGCTGGGCCAAACTGAACGTCCTTCAGAAAAACATCTAAGGGCTAGAGGGAAATTGTACTTTATGGTTTATAGGAGCAAATCAAATCTTGTCTGTATGCTTGACAACTCAAATTTGGCAAAGAATTACACCAGGACGATTGTTTCCTTCTGCTCCGCTGTTTGTTTTATTTCATCTCTTGAAGATATTTTTTTCTCGCATCTGCCACTCTTGTGTATACTGTTGCTAATGAAGGCTTCCTGAGAAACAGTAATACTGTGCAATGCTAGACCTGATCTAAGTGCTGGAGTTAAGAGCTGAACCTCCCTGAAGTTAAGAGGGGCAGACATAGAGAGTGACTCAGAGCACCTGAGTCAGATAAGAGTTTCACAAGTAAAACAGGTTTGTGAACATCTTTCATGACTCCACACTTTTGAATGTTTGCAGCTTTCTAGCCAAGTCCATCTGACACAGACACTAAGGAAAGGTGTCTTAAGAATATTTTAGAGTGTGGATATTTTAATTTGAACACACTAAAAGCTTTGTCTCCCAAGAGCATGGCCTTCGTAGCTTTTTTAGGCTTTCTTCACACGGTTTAGAAAGCATAGTGACTTTAAAATTATTTTTGTTTTTTCTATCCCCGTGGCTGTTGATGTGTGACTGTGTCATACCAGTGTGTGTTTGATTGCACTCCTGGGACTTTCTGGCCAGTCTGAGAATCAGGTTTGGATTTTGGGTCCCTAATCTGACATTTCAGGCTCAGCTGCATAAAGATATTGAAGTAGCTGATTATTTTTAGGGGTAACTTTTTTTCATCAACTTTGTTGTTCAGTCCAGTTATTTGTCGTGTCTAGGCCACAATCTCTTGAAGATGGAGACTTGTGTGGCTAAAAATTCAGAAGTAAATATTTTCAGGGTTCACTTTCTTCCAAATATGAAGGAACTGCTGTATTCCTGTAAATTCTTATATTTAAAATATTCTGGGAGAGACAAAGCTGCTGTCCAGCTTTAGATTTATAGCTGTCAGTCATTTAGCAAGATGTCATTCTATAGAGTTAAGTTAAACTTAATTTGTAGGCATTAAAAATTAACCACTTAATCAGTTGACAGATTTCTCGTCTCAGTTTATATGAAAAACATAAAGCATAAGAGAAGGTTTCTTTGGATGGTTTTGATTGTTGTTTTTTTTTGTTTTGTTTATCTGGGATTTCTTTGGCAAATATTTCAGCTGCCCTTGCCAGCCGCAGTAGCAGAATACAGTAGCAGAACTACTCATTAAGAATTCTAATTAAAGAAAAGCAACAACTAGAAGAAACGCTGTTAGTGAAAAACTGACTGCGTTTGAACAAATGCTTGCACAAAATCAACCTGAATACAGTAATCACTTTTTTCAGTGTACCATCTCTAGAAGAGCATGGATCTTTTCCTTTACCATTTTATTTTTTAAATTCCAGCTAATCGTTAATTGGTGTGAAGTACTTTTTATAATATACACTTACGCTCATAGAAATTATTCTGATGCAGCAAATTGCCAAAGTATTTACAGCAAACACCTCGATATCATCAGCAATTAATGAAGTCTTAGGAGGCTTGTTACAGTGAGTCACGCTACTTCTTAATCTCAACTGATAGAGATAAACTGGAATGTTATCCAAATCCCTCGTTGCAGACTTGCAGTGAATGGTAGGGCAGAACACCGGGGCAGGCAGCTCTTCTGCAAGAGTGGGAGCTCAACAGCTGGGAGGTTTCTTCAGCCCTCATCCATAGCAATAACTGGAGCATATGCTGTGTCCATCCTTTGTGATCTTAGTATTTCATCATGTTGTACGCTGGCATATTCAGCTCTGCTGAAGGGGTGATCTATCATTGGAGAGTGCTGATTCGTCTTAATTTTTCTTCCTTTTGTCTGCAAGATAAGGTTTTTAATTCTCTGAGGCTTCCTCAGCAGCCTCACGCTGAAGCGATAGGGCTGTTATTTATAGCTATCGTGTTATAGATGCAAGTGTGTTTCTGTTGATATGTTGCACTAAATGGCTTTCTCTTGTCTTTGGACATATTTCTAAAACTCCTTGAATACAGAAAAGGAATGTGGAAATGATCAGAAACTCCATAAAGTATTCTGACATTTTGAGACAGGTTATTTTTTGTTCTTCTGAATTGAGATGATTTTTTTGTGTGTGTGTGTGTGTGTGTGTGTGCACTTCTGTTATTTCATTGCACACAAATGCTTGCGTAGAAAATAATTTTGATCACAATGTAAAAAAACAAAAATAACAAACAGGCAAAAACCCAAACCAGCTCTGTACGCTTTTAATTGCTAGCTGAAGGTGCTTAAATCCTATTTGCTTTCAGACCTCAAGAAATTAAATTTAACCTGACTTTGGACACTGAAATTGCCTGATCAGAAAGAACCAACTTCAGTTTTACAGAGGAGTGTCCTAGAATATTCATTCTTGTGCCCTGAAAGCCATGTTATGAAATGTGCCTAGTTTTATTTTTTTAGTTACAGGCTTGTATATTTTTTTTACAAGCTAGACTGACGTTCTAAATGCTGGCCAAATATGTATCAATTTATTCAAGTGTAATAACCTCTTTCTTGAGTGGAGATATTTCTTTTCTCGAAACACCGACTTTTTGAATATGTGGATTTCCACGTCCTCATCAACAAAACCACAGCTCCCCCCCGTTCCATTCAGAGTGCATCTCAAAGGAAACAAAATTCCGGTAGTGACTTAAAGAAAAATTTTGTGAGGAGCCTTTCTCAAGTTTGACTAGAATGGGGCTATGTGTGAGATAACTGGGCTTGTAGTATGCAGGCAAGGACTTCATTTTACACTGCACTTTCCTACAGTCTTTACACTTTTTGAGGTTGTCAGCATAAATTGTTTCCATCCACACCTGATGGCTAAGACTTTGTTCCGGATCGCTATGTATCTCCACCCCTCTGAATTTTTTTTCAATAGGTGCACTAGGCCTTCCAATGAGGGGAATGAGCAACAATACCCCTCAGTTAAATCGCAGCTTATCACAAGGCACTCAGTTACCGAGCCACGTAACGCCAACAACAGGGGTACCAACAATGTCACTTCACACGCCTCCATCTCCGAGCAGGTATTTATTGATAGCCAATGTTTCTGCAATTGTGTCTTTCAGCAGAGCACTTACTAAATGTTCTGCGTATCGTGCCACAGCTACTTTAGACTGATTAATTAAAAAAGAAAAACAGTAATTTTTATTGACCGCTGCCTGTATTGGGTAAGTAATACCGTAAAACAGTAGGATAAGGCTTAACGTAAGACAGTGTTTGATTTTGTATGTAAAGGATAAGTTGCTGGCAAACTCTGCTTCAGAATGTAAGAGTCTGTTTTTTGGTTGTTCTGGTAAACAAATGGTAAACGTTTTTATACGGCTGTTCTGCACCGTGTGAGAACGTTAAGGTAGTAGGTCCTAAGTGCTCTTTAAATAAGAGTTGTAACGCCTCTTCAAATGCATAGTACTTAAGTATTTATCTGAACCTGACTGAGGACTTGATTGGTACGCAATGGGTCATCTGGTGTTTCTGAAGAAATCCAAAACTACGTTAATTATAGAGAGTAATACAAACACGCGGTGTTGAATCTAAGCACAAATTAAGTTGCAACAACTCCAAGTCTATCCAACATGAGTAATTTAAGTGAGTAACCAAATACTATTGCACAGATTCATCTCCGTGGATGGTTTTTCTCTTTCAGGGGGATATTGCCTATGAATCCTAGGAATATGATGAACCACTCCCAGGTTGGTCAGGGCATTGGAATTCCCAGCAGGACAAACAGCATGAGCAGTTCAGGGTTAGGCAGCCCTAACAGAAGCTCTCCAAGCATAATATGTATGCCAAAGCAGCAACCCTCTCGACAACCTTTTACTGTGAACAGGTAAGGCTGTTTGGTCAGACCATCCCTGTGCAGCCATGGGCGTGCTTAAGTACTGCTCTCAAAGTCTAGTTTTTTATCCATTAGAATAAAACTTCAGAGTGCCGCTTTGTGTCTTCCAGTCTCTCGGTGCTAACTTTCAAAGCACTCAGTGCTTGTGCAGGCATATTGCAGCCTTTCAGCTAACTTCTGTTTCTGACTACTTAATTTCTACTGCTCCTTCTTTAAAACTTGTGATGTTTCTAGTGTGTTCCAGAGTTTGTTTTTGAATCAGACCTTGGTTTTTGTGTGTATACATCTTGAAAACTACTCATCTATGAGTTTGGGAAGAATTAAGGCAAGTGGTAATCCAGAATAACTATTTCTAAATAGTTATTCTATAAGAACAGTCAGCTGACTTGGACATAGTGTAGACCTCATATTTTACTTCTTTAAGTTTTGGAACAATATGGAAAGCAGTGGTTTACAACTCATCTAAGGTACTCATTTTTGATGCCAGAATTTTCTCAGTTACTTCTGCTTTTTTTTCTTCTAATTCTGGGCAAGATTGTGGCATCAGAAATCATTGTGCTTTTACTGTTGTTGGTACGTTTATGCTTAGTTTATATTGATAACCTTGTAATAAATTGTGTCAATTCTGATTACGTAGCATGTAACTGGCTTCCCACAGCTGACTATTTTCCAGGCTTCTTTCCAGAACCTCATGATCCCCGCGTTCCCAGATTGTTGCTCTTTCTTGCCTCATGCCCTAGCCTAGGGGACTCAGCTCCAATACACTCATGGCAGTCAAATGCCACTTCTGACATGGTGTAGTATTTTTACTAAACAAATGAAGGAAAATGGATGCCAGTTATCTGAAACTTGATCAGTCTATTTAATTCTGTATCTCTGCATTATGATATAGGCATTAAATAACTTCTTTCTTCATCACAGCAATAGAGGTTTGGTAATAGCAGTTTGTGTTCTTGAAGCGTAAGAAGACTTTGGACAGAGGCCACTTTGAAAGTAATGCCTCCTATTTATTTCTATGGAAACTACAACAGATATAGAAAACACAACACCACTGTTTGATAGAGTGAATTCTCAGCTACAAAACACCATTTTTCAACATAGTCACTGCTGTTAGCTGTGGATTTTTGCCTGTGATGAACAAGAGCCCGTATGCCATGCTTGTCAAAATCTGTACCAGCTGAGGTGACCCGCTGCTGAAATGCACCACCCACTACCTCACTGTGCTCACATCCACTGTTTGGTCTCCATAAACATTCAGCAAATGCCAGTAGATGCCATTTTTTTCCACATGGAGGAATTCAATTCCACACCTTTGCTTATCCGCACTTCCACGTAACAAGCCATTTTATCAGACTGCCCCTCTGCTGCCATCTGTCACATGGCAACAAAATGAAACAGAATATTCTTGGTATGGTTCAACCCCCACAGCCATACTACCAACATCCACCTCTGATGTTGTGAGCTAACAGAGTAAAATAGGAGGCATTTCTTAAGGAGTAGCCCTTGTGTCTTGGCCTTTTCTTTCCTGTGATGTACCAGCAAGCAAAGGAGATGATAATTTAAAAAGATAGTTTTATATTTTAAAGCATTTGTAAAACTTGAGCATGGATCAAAAAAAAAAAAGATCAGTGTACAGGGAATGATGATTTTGGAGATTGATGCGTAGGAAGTACTTGTTTAAATAACATCAAGCTGGAGGAGAGAGATAATGAAATCCCATTCTGTAGGAGCATTTGAATGAAAACCCTTTTCTTTTGTTGTGTTGTATAGCTCATGTTAATGATGACACAGTTTTTAGAAGTTGAAAAGGACATACTACTAGAACAGTGCCAAGTTCTTACTTCACATTTTATTAGCCTACAAAAGTATAGTACATAGCCAATTGTTAATTGACTATATTTAATGAAATGGTGACATGACATTTGAAATAAAAAAGGTTTTATTTCCTTGAGAGGTGCATGAATTATATAACTTCCATGAAGTGTTTTGAGAATTGTTCCCTTTCTTGGAGCAAAGAATGATTTTAGGTCTTTGAACACACAAAATACTTAACTTTCTCTTTCTTAGTTACGTCAGTAAAACATGTTGAAAGCTGGGGTAACACTGGTTAACAGTTTACAAGTGTAGGAAAATACGCATCTGGTGGCCTAGTCCCTTTCTTATCACTGAAATTCTTGATCTAGTTAATTCTGATTACTTTAAAAACAAATGAACAAAAAAAAATCTTGCATGAGAAGCTTGTCTGTGACCAAGCAAGGTTATATTTCTTCAAGATCAAATTATCTCTGGTTGGAGTTCTCACCAAGTCCAGGATTCACAGAGGATACCAGAAGTGTTTCTCCTGGTTCATGAAGTGTCAAAGATTCACATGTCTTTCAAATGCACCATCTTGCTGAAGCAGAGCAGATTGGAACCATTCTTGACTGTTTCCTTTCCTTGATGTCTCAGTCAAAAACAAAATATTTAGGGCTTGAAATTAATTGTAAAAATGTGAAAAAGTCATATAAATAAAAATTCTAGTAGGAAAAGTTGACGCTTCTACGCACAGGAACTTATAAAATATCAACTTTTGTCCTCTTACAGGGGGAAATGAATGTTGTGGTTTCCCACAGGGCAGAAATAACAGAATTTCACTCAGCTCTGGGCTACTTTGTGACTGCTTAACATCTTCAGTTTGTACTGAATGGAACAGATCATTCGGGTGTTTGTCAGACCACAGCAGTCCTATCTGATTCTTAGATGTCTTCAAATATTTTTACTTGTCTGTGTGATACTTTAACTTAACTGTGTGGCAGAGGCCATACAATGTGATGGTTGCACACAGTAAATTTCCAGCTTTTAATTGAGTCATGACAAATATAATCACATTAATGATTCAGCTTCTGCCCTCAAATGAATGCTCTCTGGTCTGACTTTTTGCTATTGTCTTTACTGATATTTCATTTTTATGTATGAAATTACTGAGTAAAATGCACATTTGGCATAACTTGTTGGCTGACAGATGTCAAAGGAGTTGTGGCTGTTAAAAAAAAAAAAAAAAAAAAAAAAAAAAATCAGGTTATTTTGAAGTCATTCCAGTTGCATTTATTCAGCAATGCTCATTGCTGTTCAGAATTTTCAAAGGTATAAAGGCAAGTAATAAAAAGTTGAGTTTAGGCTAATGTGGATTGCTTAAGATGACGTAATTTAAGTGCCTTTGGCTTTTTTACTTAATGCCTTCAACTGGAAATTATGAAAGTCTCTACTCTCCTTTCTCTGACTTCTTGTATTTTTTTCACAGTATGTCTGGATTTGGGATGAACAGAAATCAGGCATTTGGAATGAATAACTCCTTATCAAGTAACATTTTTAATGGAACAGGTGAGTTTACTCTTAATTTATGCTGATCTCCCAGTTCAATAGAAAGATTTTGTTTTTGATTGAATAAGCTTAGAAATACTGTGAGTGCAGTTGTTGCACGGAAGTGATGCCTTTAGAGAGCAACTCTGCATGTTCTTCAGCAGATTCTGTAAACCTGACATTAATGCACAAAAAGTGCTTTATTCTAGCTTCAAGATTCTGTGGAGAAATAAGTGTATTAATGGTTTGTTTGTTTTCCCATGGCATAAAAGAACAAAAACGGTGCTATGCCATCTGTTGTTATTGCTTCAGAGTATTGGCTTGTAATACTTCTGAAAGGCAAAGTATAATTCTGCTATAGAATAATCACTTGGCTGGAAGTTGTATCTGTTCAGTTAGAAATGCAAAGTAGCTTATGGAATTGAAAAGGAAACGGGAGAATAAAAGTTTCAAACATTACGGAGGATAAACACAACGGGGCAGCGTTTTTAGAGACCTCAAAGTGATCCTTTCAGTCAGTTGTTTCAGTTGTGATTTTTTTCCCAGGGAATTACTCTTCAGCTGAATCTAATGAATTAGAGAGATCAGTGTTCTCGTGTGATGGTGCTGTAGGCTCGCAGTGCTTTGGTATTGGCTTGTTGGTGGCTGCCTGCCCAGAGGTGCTGCTGATGTCATAGCACGGAAGCCTCGGCCGAGGGGTTTGGCATCCCCACGGCCTTGTGACGTCCTTATGGAGCTGTGCTGCTCTCCTCACCCATGTGGTTTTATCACTGCAAACTGAAAAATCTTCCCATGTTACTCGTGCTGCGTTGGCTCTGCAGTGGTTTGGACTTTACCTTGTCTTGTGTTATCTAAGCAGAAAAGAGCTCTTTATTGATGATATGGGTGATTATTTTCTTTGAAATCTTTCCTTGATAGCTCCTTACATTTTAAATGGGTTACCTATCCTAATGCTATAGTTTTGATAGTCTGCTTCTATCTCACATATGCAGTGTTTAATTAAAAATGAGCAAACAGTGTTACTAAGTACTACTGACTGCATTTGTTTAAAGAAGATCTCGATACTCTTGAGAGTAATGTCATAGTACAGATGTTGTATGTATTTGTGATGATCATAAGTGTAAGAGTGATAAGATCAATTGGAAGGAAGAAAATATATCCAAGATTTATCTTGTGCATAATGAGGTTTTTCAATTTTTTTTTTTAAAGTAAAAATAAATAAATAAAGCCAGAGGGAAAAAAAAAAATAAAATGAAAATACATGTTTTTGTTGTAGATGGAAGTGAAAATGTGACAGGACTGGACCTCTCAGATTTTCCAGCACTAGCAGACAGAAACAGAAGGGAAGGAAGTGGCAATCCAACTCCATTAATAAACCCTTTAGCTGGAAGGGCTCCCTATGGTAAGGTTATATTTCTGAAAACTCTTTGAATGAACGATGTGTCTGCTTGCTCGATTTGCCTTTCTCAGTTCTAAAGACAATAGGAAGCCTTTTCAAAAATGCCAGTATCTTGAGCTAAGTCTCGTTTTTTGAAAATCAGCAGTCGGTGTCTTTATAATTGGAGATTCCTATCAGTTTTCTCTAAGTATTGAGACTGACTTGTTTTAAATTCATTGCCAACAGTGGCTGCTGGGATTTTCAGTCAGCGTAGTGTGATAAATCTGAAGCTGCTCACCAGAATTATTTTTAGGCAACAGATTGTTTTCTGCTTTGCACGTATGCAGAAACTGTCCAGTACTGAAGAATAAATTTTAGAAATAATGCTTGATTATTAGAAACGTAAACTTCGCACTTCTGTGTAAAAAGTGCACACTTGTAAACATGCTGTCTATCTTCAGTTTTTATTGGTAGTACTTGCTGTAGTACTGTTCACCATAATTCTTATGATGAACATCAGATTTCAAACAAACAAAAAAAAGTAGCCTGTAAGCATTGAGTGTTGTCATTCAGATTCCAAATCTGTGTCTTGTATAATTCTTGCTGAACAGCTTAAAAATAATAAAAGGAAAAACATAAGGGTGGATGCAATTTGGGTCTGGATACTATTTGGGTCTGGAAAAAAAACTAGGTAAGTTTAGCATGAAGGATAATACTTTTTTTGCGTTACTGCTTCAGTAGATTTTGTCATGCATGTTGCATCAGCTTCTCTGAAAAGTTGCATTTATAACTTATTTTTGTGACACTTGTCAAATTTCCAACTAAATATATCCTAGTCTTTTCCAGCTAAAAAAAGCTAGTGTTCTTCAGAGATAGCTCCAATTCTAATTGGAGTGAAATAATAGGTATTACATTATCTGTGGAAAGTAGCCTCATGGATTGGGTGTAACCAAAACCCTCTGCTTAAGATAAGCTGTGAGAAACAGCAAAAGAAGTCAAACTGAAGTGCTCCCAAATGCAGGCAAAAGTCACTGTCACTTCCCCTTATAAAGACACTGGAAAGTCAAGCTAAGAGTAGAGAGCTGATATGGCTTGTAGTTTACACAAGTTTGTCCATCTCAAAATGAGAAGCCATTACTTGGAAAACTGATGGAAGATGGGAGGGAAGTTCCATGCAGATGAACTTGCAGCATGGGGCTGGAGTTCAGTGTTGAGCTGTACTGCTGCATTTAAAAAAAGAAAAAGGCACCATTTCCGTATTTGTGGTGCTAGCATACCTGTTTGTGTGATTGTTTGGTAAACTGTGGAAAAAATACCTGTCTCAAAAGTTATCTTGAGCACCTGCTAAATGCAGGTTGCCACTGTAGAAGCAATTAAGAATTAGTTATATGAGATGCACTTGCCACTGTCTAGGCAAGTAAAAGTGAAGAATGTTTTTGGTTGTGGTCAAGAAAAAAGGTTTCAAACTGAGCTGAGGCATGCTTTCTTTATGCTTGGCTTATTTCAGAAAATGAGCCTTCAAACATTTATTAGATAGAAGGAAAATATGCAATATAGTTAATTCTTAATCAGTACTGTTCTTCCAGTGGAAGAAATCATAGTGACTATGAAAGCAAAAGGTTTACAGCGGAAACGAGATTATATATTTTGTTCTTGATGGAACATTGACCTTTAACATAAGAGTACAATACAAAGTCATATATGTTGTGAGCTACTGAGCCATTTTAGATCTTACATTGTCTGTTAAGAAACATTGAAAAATAGGCCCTACACTTGCTTCTGCCATCTCTTACTGTGCTGGTGTAGTTTTCAAACAAGTCACTGTATTACTTCTCTGTGTCTTAGAAAAGAATATTTGCCCTTGGGTGTCTGGTGGAGGATTTTTGTTCTGTTTTGAACTGGCATAGAAAAATGTTGCTTTTCAGTAGTCAGAATCCATATTCCAATGTGACTGGCCTACTTTTTCAAAATTAGGGTCAGAGCACTGAGAGTTGCAGGCTAAATGCTTTCAGTTTCAGTACTGAAAGTAGGAGTCGTTCATATGTCACAGGCAGGTATTACATTGGTGATATGTTCTGTTGCAAGTTAGCTGGGCGTCTTAAGGATACCTGCTTCTAAAGAGATTGGAGAATGGAGGAAAAAGTGTGTAACATTAAAAGCAGTGTATCCTTGCTTCAGTGGATTTCCTTAAAAACTACTTCAATAATGCCTGCAAAGATTTTTTTTTTTTAATTTAGATATGCAAAACAGGTGCTTTTCTTGATAAAAGTTTCAGGCTTCATTCTTAAAGCAGTGGATTTGTCTATGAATTTAACCCGGAGTGTTTCTCAGCTCACACTTAAATAGAGGCTTTAATCTGTGTGGATGTTTTAAATGAATATGCTTTGTTTCGTTTTACCTGAGTTGATGGTTTCTTAAATTGTTTCTGCTGTATTATGTGCACATAAGGAAAATGAGTAGTAAGCAAGATCAACAGCAGGAAATTTTTTTCCTAGCAGTCATTTAATGTTATTCCTGCTTTCGTTTTGATAATAGTTGGGATGGTAACAAAACCAGCAAGTGAGCAGTCCCAGGACTTTTCAATACACAATGAAGATTTCCCAGCATTACCAGGCTCCAGCTACAAAGACCCAACATCAAGTAATGATGATAATAAATCTGTAAGTAAAGCTTCTTTTGCTTCCAGTGTTCAGACTTTTCTTGACTGCTATATTTCAAAATAGGCAGTGGAATATATTTATAATGTAAGGTTTTCAAAGTTCCCCTTTAAATTAATGAGAAATTTTATGTAAGTCGGGTTTCATCTGTCACTGTGACCTTGCTCTGCATAGCCTCATGTATTTAGAGTGAGAGGGAGTGAGGAAGAACTCACAAGAATACTTCAAAATTATTTACAAGAATTGACATGTATTTTTCAAGTTCTGCAATTCATAACTTCTTCTTCTACCAATTGCAGCTCAGTTGTCACTGTTGGTCTCCCTCATCGGTAGCAGTGATTTTCACATCGTACCATCTTTCTTAAAGCTGTCAAGTCCTTTAAATGTTAGGTGATAAAATACCACTTGAAGGTAAAATTATTGATGAGCATATGAAAGCACAGGGAACGTGGTATTTTAATAGAGACTATTACATTTGTGGTTATGTTGTAGGCTAGTTGCATCTTAAGTATTGTTCTAATTACTGTGTGTTAGATGGTAAGATTTTTTTTCTGCTTACTCTGAAAGATCTGTAATTAAAATTGCACTTTTTATTACAAATTAGAGATAAATACATTAATATTTGGATGACAGAGAACAGCATTCTGCAGTGTTGGACAAAATGTTTTAGTTTGATTGTTTTACAAAGAATTGCAAAATTTGGTTAATCAGTGGTACTGGCAGGTAGGGATTAGAAGCGACTACAGACTCGCATGAAAACTGGAAAGTGTAACTTCAAAACAGGTGGGATTAGGCCTTCTCCTTGGAAACTGTGGACAGATTACAGTGTAGAGAATGTTCTCATCACTTGGAATTGAGTACAGTAAGGAACAAGGGATGAAACATGATTATATTGTGTTACTGCAAATTTGTTTTAAAGAATATTAAAGAAATAATGCTTATGGAAAATAGCTTTTGTCAGTATGTGGGCTCCTGGAGAGCTATTGCAGTTTTCTTGCCAAACGTAGTGTTTACATCTCTTTCCTGATAGTTGCAAAGGTGCCAACTGTTTGTTGTTTGCACCTGAAATTGGCTTGAGTTATTACCTATTGCTGCATCATGGAGTGTTGTGGACTGCAGGAACAAGGCTATTGGAAAAAAAACAGATACTTGGGGCATTCATTGTGTATTCAAACTCAAGCAAAAAATATTTTCCAAGATTGCAAGCTGTAGGCTTACTGATAGCTCTTATAGCATGGGAAGTGTACTTTATGAAGTGTTGAGTATTACATAAGGTTTGTGAACAGAGTACAAGAACTTCAGCTTTGTCGCATTTTAATAGCTGATAAATCAGTGTGACTTGAAGTGCTGTTCAGAACTCTCGGATGAAAGATTTGGTCAACCAATTTTTTCCTTTTTGGATTATCCATCATACCAACTCTTCAAATTACTTTTAATAGAATTTGAATACATCAGGCAAAACATCATCCAGCACAGATGGGCCCAAGTTTCCTGGAGATAAAAGTTCAACTACGCAAAACAACAACCAGCAGAAAAAAGGGATCCAGGTGTTACCTGATGGTATGTATCATTCCACTTTGTCCTCTTCAAAGGTTTTGGCAGGCCTTTAGGTCATCGTGTTGATCTCTTCACCTCTTGAAAAGAGAAAATTAATTTGTTCTTCTTGCCCAGGTCGGGTTACCAACATTCCACAAGGGATGGTGACGGACCAGTTTGGAATGATTGGCTTGTTAACATTCATCAGGGCAGCAGAGACAGATCCAGGAATGGTACATCTTGCATTAGGAAGTGATTTAACAACACTAGGTCTCAATCTCAACTCTCCTGAGTAAGTTTCTGTCTTTTAGTACTGTCTTCAGTTTTGTTTTCATTATGCTGTCGTTCACAGTAATAGATTCACTTAGTTCACATAAGCATCAAACCCACAAGATATTTTGCTAAATAAAATTTGAAAATGTAATGACAGTAAAATAAAACTTCCATAAACAAGATAATTGTGCCTCAGGGAATGCTGAGATTTGTTTTGCAAGCTTTCAGTAAGCCTAGTGGCTTTGCTTATTGTCCTACCTTTTTAGGACTTTCTTCAAGGAATTAACAGTGTATTGTTAATAAACCTCAGATACACATTATTTTTCTAATAATAGTATTCTTTGAAGATATTTATATATAGATATCAGGAATTTGGGGCATAGATACTAGTGCATCTACAGAGTTTACTCCACATCAAAGATGAAAATATGATTTTACAGTTAACCTCCAGCCATTTGTTTCAGCTCAGTTTAGTATTTAGGCATCCTGTAGAGGTAATGGATGGAAGAGTAATTGCAAGTTCACAATGGTAAGAGAGGTTCTTAGGAATAGTAAAGTGAATCACTAGCCCAGAAAGCCTCTTTTTTTTGTACTTGTTACAGAAGGAACTTAGATTTTTCTCCAGTTTGGGAAAAAATGCCTGTCTTCATGATTACAGTTGTGTGAGATAAATTGAATTTCTGGTACTTTTGCAGCTGAGAATGTCCCATCGTGACTCTTCAGTCGTGAAGAATTTTATACCCTTCTCATTGAGGGAGGCACTGAGGGGGAACAACAGGCCTCTAGTTTATTTTAATCTATAAAATACAGTTGATAGGAAATATGCATTGACCTTATCCTTTGATACAGTCTTTCCATGTCCTGAATTTTTGCCTTACATTATGTAAATAACTCTTAATCTTTCAGCAAAGAGAATGCAGAAATGAGCCTTAGTCACTTACCTTATTTCTCTGGCACTTTGGGGAAAAAAAGAGATGTCTGAATTCCTTGGACAAAAGAATCTTTGTATCAGCAGAGATTTATGTAATATTAACCTTATTGGCAGTGTAGTGCATGCATTTCGAATCTTACATACAAAACATTAGCCAAAGACCAAACAGTATATATATGGACTTCCTGTCATAAGTTTTATATACAACTGCATTCTGAATGTGTGAGAGCAGGGAAGATTTCTGAATGGGAGTATCAAGGTGAGAGGGAAATCGCAGGGAAAAAGTAGCTCCTGATTTTTGCATATTGAAGTGATTGGCATTAACATACATATTTGTTTCTCGAGGCGTAACTTTTTAGAAATAATCATTTCTAGAAAATATTTCTGTAATGTTTGCAAATAGTCAAATAGTCATATCACTGGCACTTCTAAAAATACTTCAAAACCACCTCCCAGACTCATCCTTCTGGTACAATTGCATGTTATTTGCAGAATGTGTTACTTGAACACACTGTTTGCTTTGCTCGTGCTAGGCTCACAGTTCTCTTTCCCTATTGAATCTAGCAGTTTTTCACTTCCATCTCCTTCTCCCTCAGCATGCTGAGAATACATAAAGAGCAGTTAAACTGATCACAGTTCGCTGCTTTTCCTCAGTAGTTCCAGAATTTTTAGCACTCACCAGGAGACAAATCTCCTGGATCTTCCTGATACTGAAGTTATTTACTATTCTCAGTACAGATTGCTCAAAAGTAATTGGAGGATAATCAGCTGAAAATAGAATGCCTTTGTTCGTAACATAATTTAGAGTACATCTGTATCTGAATGCTTGAGCTTCCTCTGTTACTGCTCCTCAACACAGGTGAAATCTGGTTACATCATTCAGTTAACAGCTGGCTTGTAGAAGTAGTAGGATAATACTTCTGGAAATATTATTTGATGTTTTATGCAACGTTATACATTAGTTTTGATGCTTAAAATAAAACTTGACCTTTGCCCACCTATTGAATAGTCTGTAGGGAATTTGGAACTAGATGATCTTAAGGCCCCTTCCAACCATTCCATGATTTTCTGCTGAGGGATGACCTAAAGATGTACTGTACAGCTCCTGAGTGCAACATCCAGACTGTTACTATGTGTGTATACATAAAAAATATATACATGTGACATACTGCTGCTTTTTTTCAGTATGTTAAAGAGCAGGATTTTTAAAAGCTTTTAACATATGATTACTGTATATTAGATATTTATGTGTTGGATGGTGGAGATAGGTTTAGTATTTAATCTATTCTGTGTCATAAAGTTGGTTTTATTTTATACTACAAAGCAATTTATCAAAAAGCCTGTGCTATCCTTAGTGTCTTGCTTTATGTTAAGCATCCTTTGCTTGATTTACAAATTGCCATTTAGAAAAAATATAAGCATTTTGCATGTGGAAAGCAAATTTCTTTTTCTGTCTTGTGAAATGCTTCTAATATTAAAGGCACTTATCCCATTTAAGCACACAATAAATGTGCTTGTAGAAATACGATTTTAGAATTCTGCATATATCTTTATTTGAAGTAAACCTAATAACTCCTAGTTTTGTACCTCTTTTCTGTATAGATAGGTTAACACTTATTGCTTAAATAATGATTATGTGTTGCCTATACAGTCCCATATTTCCTTAAGACACATGCTTTTCATGGGATCATAGAATGGCCTGGGTTGAAAAGGACCACCATGATCATCAGGTTTCAACCCCCCTGCTATGTGCAGGGTCACCAGCCTCCAGACCAGGCTGCCCAGAGCCACATCCAGCCTGGCCTCCAGGGATGGGGCATCCACAACTTCCTTGGGCAACACGCTTTTGTTTCTTAAATTCTCTTAGCTTAAATATAAACTAAGCTAACTATAAAAATAACTTAAAATTCTACACAAATGAAGCTGAAAATAAAAATGGCGCTTTATTTAATTCTGTAGAGGTTATGTAGCAGTTCTTTCATTTTCAGAAGCTTTCTGAAATATTAATGAAATAGGCTGGAACGTTAATTGAATAAGCTGTATGCTTTTCAGTACCTCCTTAAAAATGTTAAATTAGTAGCGTTTTATTCGTGTCATAAAGGAGGGAGAGACTGTGCAAACCCTTGTTTTTATTGCATTTAAGTGGTGCAGTTGGAGTAAAAATCCTCGATTCTTTACCTTAGGACACGAGGTCACTAGGGCATGCGTGATGTGATGGCATTGCAGGAAGCTCCTCTCATTGGGCAATGACTATCCAGGCTTTCAGTAAAAAGAATGCTTTGTTTATTTCCAGCATTTGCAGATATTGCTACTGAAATCTTCCTTCAGGCTCTCTAGCACAAACTTTCGCTGTTTCACTAAGGTTAGTTAACCTAGAGGGAGACTGACGCCATTTTGGCAGTGTAGTTTGTAGGCCCTGTGGCTCAGCTGGAAGTCAGTGTTGTTGGGTTAGCTGTGTAGGATTCAGATACTTAGTAGCAACTATTAAGTCTTTGACAGGCAGGAAGCAAGAGTTGAAGAGGATGTACCCTAATACAAGTAACATTTCCACTAAGTGCCCCATAGCATGTTGTCCTGGCTGTAGCTACCTGTGAAAAAGTTCTTTTCCTTGGACCTTTTTTCACTGCTTTATCCATTAAATAGAAAGCTCATTCCTCAGTACATCATCATTGAGTTGGAAAGTTCATTGTTTTCTCTTTGTTAAGTGAATGAGGAGGGTCTTTATTTTTGAGTTGGTAGCAAAATTTCTACGAAAGAAAAATACTAAATAATAAGCGTATCTTCATATTGTGCTGGGATTTAGTGTATTTGCAGCCACTGGAATTTAAAAGAAGAACATCTTTATTGGTTCATTAAAAAATAAAAAAAAATTTAAAAAGAATCTGCCAGTATAAGCTTTTCTCTTCCTTTTAAATTATAGGCTAATAAATCAGAACCCACCAGGCTCAGGTATTTCAGGTCAAATAATAATAATAATAATAATAATAATAATAATAATAATAATAATAATCTGTTTAAAATTGGATTCCTGACACTTAAGGAATGACCTAAGTTAAAGCAATGATAGATTAAAAAAATGGAATCTTGGCTCTGGAGATTCCAAGATTGTTTAAATGCACCCTTTCTTTGAACATTAGAAAGAAAATGAATAAATGTAGCTATTTTAGGAAAAATGGGTTGGAACTTTCCCTCTCTCTATCCTTCTCACCTCGTGTGGAGTGATTTTGGTTCTGTGGTATGTTTATTGCCTTCTTTTTCTTGTAATTTTTTTTTTTCCTCCCACAGAAATCTTTATCCCAAATTTGCATCACCTTGGGCATCATCACCTTGTCGACCTCAAGACATAGGTAAGAAAAAAATGGCTATTTAATTCAATATTAATGTATGAAAATGGTACTCATTTACAAGTCTTAATAGTTGCATCAATTCCGATTCTTTTTTAGACTTCCATGTTCCATCTGAGTACTTAACTAACATTCACATTAGGGATAAGGTGAGTATGTGTGTGTATTTTTCATTAGTTTATTACCAGTAATTTTCTAAATTTTCTTTCAAACAGATTTTTTTTTTTTCCAAATTCAACGCATTCAGTGGATGTTCTCAATCTTTTTAAGAGCAGTGATATGTTAACTGGCTGATCAGATATATCATGTACCCATTTCACCTTAGAAAAGAGTAGGAAAAACAAAAATGAGTACAGGCATAGCTAGCTAACAAACACATTGTGTTTTTACTAGTATGCTCTTTATGCAAAGAGCATGTTCAGTATAATTCAGCATACTCTAATATTCAAATGCCATATTAAATTGTGTTTTTTTTTCTTGAGATTGGCTCAGAATTGTGAATCAAGATACTGTCGTACTTATCTCTTGCTTCCCATGTATGCACAAACAGGAATTCTTGTTAGGTATATTTTCTTTCAAGTACTGTAGTTTCTTAAGAGGGACTGTTGAGAAATATGGCAAGAAACTGTGCTCGTGTTACTTAATAGGGTGTGAAATAAGCAAATACATTCAAGCGTTTAAAGAACTAAAAAGAGTAGATGAGGATACGCATAGATGGGGGGATAAAATTCTATCTTGCTGATTCTTCTGTTTATTTTCCTTCTGTATCTTCCTGTTAGTTGAAAAGGTTAACAAAATGAAGAGAAATGATTGTTATAATAATTATTGCTCCTGTTAGATTATGATTTACAATACACGTAGGATGGAAGCACATTCTGCACGTATCTTTCTGTTGTTTAAGTGGGATGTTATGTCTTAAAGCATTTGTATATTGTGATTTTTCATCCTCGTTTTCTTCCATCTTTTGCAGCTGGCTGCAATAAAACTCGGCCGATATGGAGAAGATCTCCTGTTTTATCTCTATTACATGAATGGAGGAGATGTATTACAGCTATTAGCAGCAGTAGAGCTGTACGTTCAAACTACTTCGTCAGTCTTACATGATTTAATCTTTTGCAGTAATGAAGTAATGCATGTAATATTAAAAAAGATAAAACAATGCTGGAGAGAGAAGCTTAGTCGATCTGAAGCTGGAAAACTTTTTCAGAATGCCTCCTCCTACGTTGATTCCATTTTCCACTTTTTTCATTCATATAACAAATCAAATGCCAGTCTCATAAATTTTGCAGTCTTATAAAGCAGTGTCAAGCAAAAGTTTTTGAATGCCATTAGTTATTAAACATTAGTCATAAAAAAGTTTGTTGTTTGAACTTACCAGACTTCCTGAAGTTTTGTGTGTGATGAAATTAAGGTGTAATAATTATATGGAAGTAGTATGTGATAGCAACTGTAATGATGTCTCAGAAATATCATTTTGATTTTGAATCGTATAAGTTTTATTTAAAATCTTAAAATTGCAGTCTGTGATGTCAAACTGAAATAACTAATGCTAAGAATTGTTTTTCCTTCCTGTTGAAAATGAAAGATTTAACCGGGATTGGAGATACCACAAAGAAGAACGAGTATGGATCACCAGGGCACCCGGAATGGAGCCAACAATGAAAACCAATACGTACGAGAGGGGAACATATTACTTCTTTGACTGTCTTAACTGGAGGAAAGTAGCTAAGGTATATATTTTCCCTTGCGAGGATATTTTAAGCCTATCAGCCGTATGTTTTTAGAAGGACAAAACCCAAAGTCCATCCCAAAGTCTCAGCTTTTAACCTCATATCGTTCTAGTTCGTTATCTCAGTTTCTGGTGTGCATGAGAACAGAGATTGCCTAAAAAAAAAAACAAACTGGTTGGTCTGTGGAAAAGGAGGAGCAGTTTCTCCATTTCCTGTTTTCTTTGGGAACGAAAAGGAACTTCTTGCTTTTATCACAAGTTTTATTAACATTGAAAGCTTTTCTTTCAAGTACAGTATTCTAGAATAAAAATAATTTGTCATTTTAAAAGTTCTGCATGCAACTATTACTATTTTGCTTGAGAAAGTCAAGTAAGGAGTTACCACATCAATCTTTAGATTTAGAACAAGTGTTTAGGGTGGGAGGAGTTGGCTTGGGTTGGTTTCTTTTTGTTGTTGTTTCTAGTTATTGTCTTATTGAGGATAATGTAGGAGTTTAGTGCTCTGTTGTTTGAATGTTCAAGTACTTCAAAATAGCTTGCTTCTCTTAGGGAGGAGATATTTTCATGATTGTTTTCTGTATTCTAGGCCAAGAGGCATTAAAAAAAAACACAAAAAGAACAACGGTCTTCTCCCTTTCCACTTGTGATAATTTGTTCCCTTCTGTTTTGAATACCGTCAATATTCGTGACCCTTTATGTGCAATTTATGGAATTGTGCTTCTTTTTCTCCATCCTCTTTTCAAAATATTTTCAAAATAATTTCCAATATTTTAGTGTCTTTCAGCTTTGAAATCATTTTGTACAGTGTATTTTCCTTGATTATGGTTTCTTCACCCCATGAAAGCAAATGCTTTCTAATGTATATAAGTGCAAAAAGATTTGAGTGATCAGCAGTGTTGTCATTCACTAACCTGAAAAAAGGGATACGTTCTTCTGGCAGTAGCCTGCCCTATAAGGGATTGCATTCAACTCTGGTTTGAGCTGGAAAAGATGTATGAAAGCAGTATGCATGCAGCCATCACACCTAGCTTGAGTCTGAGTTGAATAATTTTTCAAAAAATCGCTGATCCCATTTAATTTTAGTTCATAGAATCATTGAATGGCCTGGTTTGAAAAAGGACCTCAAAGATCACGGAGTTCCAACCCCCCTGCTCTGTGCAGGGTCACCAACCACCAGACCAGGCTGCCCAGAGCCACATCCAGCCTGGCTTTGAATGCCTCCAGGGATGGGGCATCCACAGCCTCCTTGGGCAACCTGTTCCAGTGCATCACCACCCTCTGGGTGAAAAATTTGCTCCTAATATCTAACCTAAACCTCCTCTATCTTAGTTTAAAACCATTCTCCTTGTCCAATCACTGTCCACATAAACAGGCGTTTCCCCTCCAGTTTATATGCTCCCTTCAAGTACTGGAAGGCCACAATGAGGTCTCCCCGGAACCTTCTCCAAGCTAAACAAACCCAGTTCCCTCAACCTTTCCTCATAGGAGAGGTCCTCTGATCATCTTAGTGGCTCTCCTCTGGACCTGCTCTAAGAGCTCCACATCCTTCCTGCACTGGGGGTCCAGGCCTGGATGCAGTACTCCAGATGGGGCCTCACAAGAGCTGAGTAGAGGGGGACAATCACCTCCCTGCTGGCCACTCCTCTTTTAATGCAGCCCAAAACACAGTTGGCCTTTCAGGCTGCAAGTGCACACTGCTGGCTCATGTCTAGCTTCTTGTCCAGCAGGACCCTCAAGTCCTTCTCTGCAAGGTTGCTCTAAAAGTTCTTCCCCCAGTCTATATAAACACCTGGGACTGCCCTGGCCCAAGTACAACTGCTTGCACTTGGTCTTGTTGACCCTCATTAAGTTCACATGGGCCCACTTCTCCAGCCTATCCAGGTCACTCTGGATGGCTTCCCTTCCCTGCAGCGCATCGACTGCACCACTCAGCTTGGTGTCATCTGCAAACTTGCTGAAGGCGCGCTTGATGCCATCTTCTGTGTCATTGATGAAGGTGTTGAAGAGCACTGGTCCCGAGACCGGTGTCCCTTGGGGACACTGCTTGTGACTGGCCTCTACCCTGACAGAACCATTGATTAGAAGTCTTTGGCTGTGACCAGCCAACCTGTTCTAGTTATGTAGAATTATATAGCAGTGGCATGATTTTCCTTCAAGTTTTAACCAGCATGGCATATTCATTGATGATAAAGAAACTTAGAACGTGTACCGTACCTACAGAACGTCTGACCATACTCCTTTGTGTTTGTTTTATTTTCTGGTAATCACATGGCAGATCAGACTAAATCTTGAGATGTTGAACAAGATTCCTATATGTTGGAACTATGCACGTTCTTCTGTTTAGATATTTCATTTAATTGGAAAGCCAAAATTCTGAATTGCTTACACAGAAGGCATTTCATTTCTGTGATCAAGCTGCATCTACGTACTTTTAAGATAACATAAGTATTCCATTGAATAGTTATGTGTTGGTTGATATGTTTTCAAACATCAGCTCTAAACTAAAGGCATTAGACTTCAGTGTTCTAGTTCATCTGAAGATTAACTAGACGTGTTGGTTTTTTTTTTCTTTCTTATTGAATAAATTTGCTTTGTCTGTCCAGCCCCCTGAGAAATTTACATTTTAGTCATCTCCAATGACATGTGGCACTCATCAGTCCATTTGCACATTTGATTCATTGGTTTTACTGCTTTTCCAATGGTCATAACAAAGCTAAAGCTTCCTAATGGAAAATTTTAATAGCAGGCTGTGCTTGTGCAATTTATTATATATATATAAAATGCATACATACAAGGTGATTCCAAGACCTTAAAGCAAAAACATCTCTCCCCTCAGAAGAGAACCTAAACAAAACCGAGAATTTTATTTCTGTTTAAATTATTGATTTGTTGTTTGAATATAGCTTGTTAGGTATCCCAAGGCACTGTTTAAGGTTATTTTATTACTTAAGATATTCAGAGGGGGAGTAATTACTTTTTGAAAGGATAGATTTCTTCTTTGGAGTCAATTTATTATTTTCTATTTGTTAATGAGCAATAGAAGTCTAATGTGGGTATCCATATCAGTAGATTAGATTGAAATTTTACTGTATTTGGAAATAAAAAGTTATTTTATTAGAAGGAAGTGATGGCCGTTGTGTAAGGATAGTGACATCCTTAGTGTCTCCCATTTTTCTACCTGTAGTGAATGTATCTAGCTACTACTTGATGCTTAAGCACTACTTTTGAAGACAGTATTTTCTTTACTGGGAGTTGTAAGTACTGTCATGAAATTCAGTATCCAGTGCTTGAGTTGTTGGCCCTTTTGTCCTTCCTCTGTTAAAGAGTAGAGCTGGCTTTGTATAAGTGGTATTCGTAGCTGTAGGGATGAAACAGAGATGCACAAAATGAGTTCTCCAAATGATTTTACCCAGGTTCTATACAGATTCTTTTGCGTTTTGTATTTTTAACTTGGTTTTAGTTGGGTATGAAGGGCACCAGGCAAGTTGACTATTGATCACAGGAGTCTAGAGAAGGGTTTGAGGAAAAATTGGTATGGTGTTACATGGAGAAGGAATCACTTGCTGGAAACTCTTCTGCGAGAGTTCCATCTGTGATCAGTAAATAAGAATTTCTATAAATATGTGAAGTGTGGTCTTGGCACTGTATGGTAATGGTGTTACCTCTGATAATTTCTGATGTAGACTTTTCCTATGAGGAGTAAAACAAAAATGGCAGTATGTGGTGACCTCTAAACTGAAGGAAAATACAGCCAAGAAACTTTTTCTGTCAATCACAGAAGTATTAATCAGTGGTTCAGGAAATTAAAAATATAACAATCTGGGGGAAAAAAGAGTTCTGATAAATAGCAGTCTCTTAGTGTAACAGCTGCATTACTAGTGAGTACTGGGAATACCATTCCTTAGAAGGCCACAATAGTAATTGTTGCTTAATGGCTTCATTAGTGCCCTTTTGAAGCAGTCAAACAAGAATTATTTCTGGTAAATTACTCTCTTATTTATATATGCAAATTAAATTATTTTTCAAGGTACTTTATAAACTTGTCTGTTGTTATAGTGTATATGCTCAAATAGATGGCAGCACGTATTTTAATGTGTTGTGCCTTGAGGAAGTTGCATTATGCAATTATCAGCTTGTGTATTTATTGTACCTGTAAATTAGTAACTCAGTTATTAAAAGTTATATTGAATAATAATTGATACAATAAAATGTAACTATTTGCTTTGAATAACGTTAGAAAGTCTTACAGCTAAGTTTATAATAACAAAGAACAAGGATTAGTAGATTTTTTTGATAGTATCCTAGGGTTTTTTGTTGTTTGTTTGTTTTTTACACGTTTTGGTAAAGCAGACTACATACTTCAATGAAAACATATTTTTTCTTTCTTTTTGTAAATTAAAGAATAGGCTGTGTATTCTATTCCTAATACTCTATTTCCTAAAAGAAGGAAATTTAAAAAAAAAAAAAAAAAAAAAAGCTGAGTCTTTAAACAAAATAATAGAGAGCTCCTTATCTATTAAGATTTTGTTAATTCCATACTGATAGGTGGCTTAAATATTGAGAGAATGTTAACAACAGTAAATTCCAAATTACCTTAAATGCCAAACAGAACACAGGAAAATGCTGACTACAAATATGTCTCCATATGTGGTTTTTCATCCTAGGGCGTGTAGAAAGTGCAATATGGTTAAAGGCACTTTGATTTTTCACTGAGGATTTGGCTTTATAGTGTGCTGCTGTAGAGGAGACGTGAAAGAGAGAGGAAGGGAAGTGGATGTGAGACCAAAAATGCCTTCTACAATTGCATGTTTACTGAAATCCTGATTTAAATTGTCTGAAGCAGACTGTCTGGAATTTCTCCTTTGAAAAGTAAGGAGAATTAATCCCATGTAAGGAGAGGAAAAAGTAACATAACCTGTATACTTTGATTTTGTATCTATAAAACGTGGAGTTCTTTCTGGAGAAAGGTTAAATTTCGAAGTGTTTACTTGCTTGTAAGAGTTGCTGCCTGTATATTGAATGAGTTTCTAGTAATTATAAAAGTATTAATACTGATCTTAAAATGGTAGAATGTTCAATTTGTTCTTCTAACAGAGATGTGCCGTAGCATTTGGATTCAGGCCCTCCTTAAACTTGGGTCTTTGCACCCATCCTTGAGCCAGCATAAATACTGCTTTTTTGGTCCCACTTGAATTTTCTTTGCTGTCCTTTGATGGGACTACATAGCCCAGAATAAGTTGTGCTCTGGGCAGTTCTTATTCAGCTAACTTTGCTTTGGCTTAGTCTATTAATGCTATGGATCACCTGAAACGATTCTTTTTCTAGTATTTTTACGTATTATTGTTTGTGTGCAGGCTGATGTAAAAAGTTTTCAGAATGTCACAAGAAGGAACTGATTTAATTGCATAGAAAGCTTATGTAGTGTTGCACGTGTGCCCTAAGTTTCCAGATACACTTAGTGCTCGTTTTCCTTGGTTATTAAAAGATATTTAATTTTTAATAATTATTCCATTTAAGAAGTAAAACAGCATAACGAATGTTTGTCAATGGATAAGTGGCACTTTCACACTTTATTTGTATCTGTTTATATTCAAAAATATCAGTGATGCTGTTCACATCCTAAACTATAGTGGCCCTTGGAATAAAAAGGGAAGACTTAAAGTGTAAAAAACATGTAATACAAGTATTTTTCTACATACAATAAATAATTGCCTTTTAGTTTTCAACAAATTTTTGTCAGTGAGTTCTTTTTTGGTATTGTCAGATATAACTGAAGTATTCTTAAATACTGCTGGATATTGGGCTTCAGCATTGCTGACACTGTAAGTCAGAAAGGCTCTTGTAAGCCTTTTTATTTTAAAATCAGTAGCAGTCTGAAGCATCAATTAATGTGCTCCTAAAGCAACTTTGGTAGGAAATCGTATTCCTCCTTCTAAACGAAAGGTTTCCAGTTTGTGGCCCACAAAGCAGTGCTCAAGGTGCCAAAACCTTCCTTCGGACAGGACCAGCAGTAGCACACAGCCACAGGAAGTTTGGAAACCCCATTTATGGGTGATGGATTCCATCGTAATGGTTTCAGTAGCTGTTTTCCATGTGTAATTTCAAGGGCATTTCAGAGCATGTGAAGGTTCAGGTAACTGATCTAAGCTTTTATTATTAACTCTTTTCTTCTGTTTACAATTCTGTTAAAAAGAAGCAGTTCCCCAACAGAATGATAGTAATGATTCCATGATTACGTGCAAAATGGAAACTTTGAAAGCCAGGAATGGGAGAGAAGTTTGAGAGGTATTTTTCCTATTAGAAAATGACTTCAGAATTATGAAGATCCAGCCTACCTAGACCAGCTATTGACACCAAAATACCTGTACACCTTGACCTTGCTGCTGACAAAAGGAGAGAGCAGGCATCCCTTCAGTACCAGCACGTATGTGTGGATCTGCACGAGAGGGGAACGCACACCAACTGGCATGCAGTGTTAATCAGGAGTGCCAAAAGCAATTCACTTGTATGTGTAACTTAAAGGCTACACACAGAGTGTAGTGGAAAAAATGAGAAAAGAAAAGAAACGCATCTTGGCTGAAGCAGAGCAGGAAAGCAAAAATGAGGCAAACATGCAACACTTCAATGCAAATGGCTATAACCTCACACACAGGCTTTGCAAGGATTTTCCAGGTTTAGGTACAGTATTCTCTGGGGAATAGAGACCTACTGAATTCCTAGCATTTGTCCCTCATTTGTTTTGTTGCCACGCTGAATGTTCTTTCCATACTAGTTAGACCCTGTTTTGCCTTTAAGGAGGGAGTTTGGGGAGTTGAGTTTTCCTAGATTTTACTTCTGATGTTGCATTGATTTGTTCTTCTGTTTAGTTTGTCTACTCGTAAAAGCTGAAATGTTGCACTATTTAAGCACTTGAGGGAGTGCTTTAAGATAATCTGTTCTGCACTCTTAGTGTTTTTATCGGTGTGTAAAAGGAGGGGGATTCAGTTTTCTCCATAGATACAGATGAAGGTCTGCTGAGGTTCCCTGTTCAGCTAGGCAAAAGAAATGACTGTGTATCCCTTGTGTTGAAAGGAAGTAGCCTTAAAAAATAGTTGTGCAGCTTCCACTTTCTGTACTTCTTGAATGAAGATAAAATGGGGGCGAGGTAAAGTTAAGCTGTGGAAAGGATCTGAAAAATGTCAGATTTAAGTAATTCCTTGTAACTGCATGGATGAGGGAAGGAGCACCAAATGTCAGAGTGTACTAATTGAGGGTTGTGTGCAAGGTCACGGAGGGAAAAGCTGCTTTTTCTGTGTAATAATCAGGATGCATTTAGATATCAGGGCTAGCTGCAATCTGATTTGTAGTAGTTGCTATAGTCAGATTAAAAATTCCTGCTGCATCATGGAGATATTTCACAAGTAGGCAAACCAAATCCCTCAGATGGAAGTCAGGTGGTTGTGCCAGTGAGACAGTGAAGCTGCTTGTTTATGCATCAGTTCCTTGTGTAGCATCTGAGTACATAGGCAAAGATTTTTATTCTGAATGATTGTTTATAAAACACCAGGCAAATTTCTTGTGAAAGATGTTTTCAAAGAAGGATGTAATATGAAGGATCTCAGGACCTACACAAGGATTTGGGTAAATCTGAAGCTTAAATTGGAGTGTGAGACGTGATAGATTATTTTTCTTCAGTTCTGGCTTACCTAGGTTTCAGTAGAGTGTGTCTAGCAATTTTGTCATGTTCCCCATTGTTGTGCTAAGGTGTAACCTAGCTAGTTTAACTTAAGACTGGGCCTGTGAGAATACCCCAAAATATCTCAGAACTTCAGATCATACAGAATAAGTCTCTGTACATCTGAATTGTTGAAAGACAGGAATCTTTATTCATAATGCAATCATGGCATGAGCTGATTTGTGAGTGTGTTGTGTACATACTGTATAATTGAGATCATAACAAGAGTTTTGAGAGTAAAGTACCATTTAAAAAAAAAGTGGTGGGGAACCCACACGTTACAGATGTAGTGGCTCAGGATATTGGCTTTTTTGTAATTAAAATACAGAACCCAAGATAGTGAAATTGTGTGGTTTTGCCTCAAGATAGACTAAGACTTGGACTTGATCTCTTTTGTATTTGTGCTTTTCAAATATAGCATGTGGATGACACTTTCCAGCAGTTAAATGGCACATAGTTTTATTTGGCTTTGTCTTTTTTGTTTGTTTCTTTTTTGATTGTAGGAGTTCCATCTGGAATATGACAAATTAGAAGAAAGGCCTCATCTGCCATCAACCTTCAACTACAACCCTGCTCAGCAAGCCTTCTAAAGACTTCCCTTTTCTTGGGGTATGGCTGTCTCAGCACAATACTCAACATAACTGCAGAACTGATGTGGCTCAGGCATCCTGGTTTTAATTCCTTGAGGATCTGGCAATTGGCTCATGCGAAGGGTCACCATTTGAGGTCCTGCCTTACTAATTATGTGCTGCCCAACAACTAAATTTGTAATTGTTTTTCTTTAGTTTGAGCAGGGTCTGAATTTTTGTTTTTGTTTTATTTTTGCCAGCAGACAAGCTTGGGTCTGTAAAGACAAGCGAGTACACTGACAAAAGTTTACCACTTAGTTTTCCAAAATGTAAAAAGACAAAAAATAAGAAAAAAGACAAAAAATTAGACAACAAAATTTGCATTGTTCATTGTAGCACTATTGGTAATAAAAAATGTTTGTGCATTTTTATGTGAAGATCCTTCTCGTATTTCATTTGGAAAGATGAGCAAGGTTTGCTTCCTTCATTTTACTTCCCCTTCTGTTTTTGAAAGGCAGTTTTCGCCAAGCTTAATGCAAGAATATCTGACTGTTTAGAAGAAAGATATTGCCACAGTCTCTGGTTAGTTTCCAGAGTTGTGTATTACTGAGCTTCATCTTTCCAGAATGAGCAAAACACTGTCCAGTCTTTGTTACGATTTTGTAATAAATGTGTACATTTTTTTTAAATTTTTGGACATCACATGAATAAAGGTATGTATGTACGAATGTGTATATATTATATATATGACATCTATTTTGGAAAATGTTTGCCCTGCTGTACCTCATTTTTAGGAGGTGTGCATGGATGCAATATATGAAAACGGGACATTCTGGAACTGCTGGTCAGGGGACTACTTTGTCGCCCTGTGCACTAAAGGGCCAGATTTTCAGCAGCCAAGGACATCCATACCCAAGTGAATGTGATGGGACTTAAGTGAACTGAGACAATTCACTCTGGCTGTTTGAACAGCAGCGTTTCATAGGAAGAGAAAAAAAAGATCAATCTTGTATTTTCTGACCACATAAAGGCTTCTTCTCTTTGTAATAAAGTAGAAAAGCTCTCCTCACTGCAGTGTTGACTTTGATTTGAGATTGTGAAATTATTTCTTCAACAATGAATAATGGAAAAAAAATTGAAGTATTAAAACTATCAAGCTGTACAGTGGTTAAGGCACTTGAAGAGTCTTTTTGCTGCTGACAAGTAATTTTATAACAGAGATTTGCATTCTTTTCCACAGTAGGCCAAAATGTTTGGTCACCTTGCTTTGAAACCTTTTCTTTTTTGTTTTGTTTAAAGAGGGGAAAAAAAAAAAAAGAAAAGCACATCCTTCTTACACTGGGGTTGGGTAACACTTTAATAGTTCACGTGATAAAAAGGTGCTTCATGAACTCATCTCAGAAGGAAACCTTGTGATAAGCGTGGCTTACAGTCGGTCGTAGCTTAGTCCCAAACTTGCCCACTTTAGGTAGGTATGCGTTTCATTTGATGATCACTACTACTTGAACGTGCAGACTTGAACAAACATGAGTACGAACTGTTTGAAATACAACTGCTCTGTAGAGTGGAGGAAGAAAAACCTGAGCCGTTGGAATAGTTTCCTTCCTCTCGATGCAACCAGAACTTCACACTGAGTTGCCTCTGGTAATAAAAAAAGCATTTCAAAATACCTGCAATTATCAAAGCAGAAAAACAGTGTCCATTAATCCTTCTTATTTATGGTTTATTTCTATTTTTTAGGTTTTAAAGTATTTTTCTATATAGTGCAAAATAACTCCTTGGCATTTATTGAACTAAACTTGGAAATTGACCATTCATGATATTGTTGTTTTTTCTGTATCAGATATATAGTGGTTTTAGATTCTACACTTTTATGTGTAATTTAAGATGATAGACATAAAAAATACAAGCCTACTAATTAACATCTTTTTATTACTACAGCATATTTAAATGAGGGATGTTTGTAATGTGAATGATGACTAACACAGCTGAAAAATATGGTGGCTTTTTCTTAGAGTGGACACAAATTGAAATGTTAAAAAGGAGAATTTTCCAAAAGGTTACTGCTGTGATAAATGTTAGTTTTTTCTTTCTTTTTTAACTACTGGTCTGTTGTGACCATCACGTTTTTGCAGGCTTCCCATCAGACCCTATGAGTTTATTTCTTATGCTGTTGGTTGGTTTTTGTTTTTCTCTACATTGCCAGTCTTGTGGAAATGAATGCCAGGCGCGGTAAGGGGAGCAAGATGAACTACACTGAAAGTGGTATCTCACTATCTAAATACCTGTGGTAGTTCAAACACAACTGAAAATGTAGGTTTTCCAACAGGTTACTGTGATGATGCTGTCGCATTCAGCCATGCCGTCTCTCAGACATGCAAGGCATGTGAGTCCAGCAAATTTCTCAGCTGCTGGTGAGGAACGGATGAGTTGTTCTTCCCAGGGGGAATAACAAGCATCTTCTCCTTCATATTCCATGCAATTAAATATGTATACACGGAAACTTAAAGTCTTTAATTTCACGTTGTGCCCTGGGTGGAAGCAGGAGAGACGGTTTTATATATAAAACAAGGAAGTGCATTGTAGCCCAAAACCACGTTGATTGATCAGAATGCTGCTTTTTTTTTTGAAAGGAAGAAAACCTGAAACCTCATTTATACTTGTAGCAAACTGGTTACTGAATTGGAGATCTTTAAAACCGACAGGGAAGCTCTGAGGCTTTTCTTGCGTCTCTTTCATTATTGCTATAAATAAATGAGAAAGTATAGAATACTACTTAATAAAAAAAAATTTACTTGTGGTGCTTTTCTCCCATAATTACAATGTTGTACAACATGCAAGGTAAGTTCTGAGAAATAAACCGGCATTCTTGGAAACAACCAGAACTGCTCCGATTTTTGGCCTGTGAAACCAGTTGCTCATCTCTCCTCAGTGTATGTTGCTTATAACTATTTATTGAATCATAAAATAGCTCCATTTTATTTGGAAATTCACTCCCCTGGATTTCCAGGGCTGTGAAAGTGGCTTTCACCAACTGGATCCGCTGTGGTATTGCAGTGATCGCCGACCGCTGCTTTATTTTGCAGTTGTCACTCAGCCTGCCCTGCCTTATGGGGCCATCTGAGGTGCAGGGCGTCCCAGAGGAAGGAGGTAAGCACGGGCCACCTGCGTGTTTGAAAGTAACCAAAAAAACACTCAGGGCTTAATCTCTGCTTTAGTATCTTGTGCCACATGTGCTTAAGTACCTTCAGGTACTAGATTAGTCTAATTGAATCCACAAATAATCCAGGGAATCCTGTAGATGCTCACATGTCTTAAACTATTTTGCACGTGACTGTGGCTCCATTAATTAGTGTTAGCTGGAAGCGTGCTGGCATTCACTGCTGACCACACCATTGCTTGTGTGCATAGAAGAACACAGGTTTGTGTTGTTCTGCTGTGAGCGATGTTTGAAATCCCCTCTGTCCCAAAACAGTATTGTTTGTACCTTCCATTTTACATTCCATGAAAAAAAGAATCTACTCAAAGTAAGATACAGCACTTGTATATTGTAGTCAGACATGAAATTGTCTTGGGGAATGCTTGCAGTGTGATGGCAGGCTCTTTCCACAACCCGCAGGAGACCAGAACCCATCTTTGGTCTGCCCTGAGCGGTGCTGGAAGGCAGGGCGGTCTGTGTGATACTCTGCTCAATCCTGTGTGCTGTAGAGGTGGCAGTAGCTCTTGGAGAAGGTATTTGGCTTCTGAATGGCAGTGCTTTAAAGATGTTTGTCACCTAAAAGGAACACTGAAAAAAAACCCCACATATTTAAAGTGAATTCCCCATAATTTGATTGAAGGGCTGGATGTTGAGTGGAGCAAAGGAAGAGAACTTTGTTTCTCTGCCACACTCCTAAGAGCTTCCAAGAGCACAGTTGGGATCTGAAGTGTGAGGCAGTCGCACAGTGCTATAAGTTACGGACTATAACAGCTGCTTCTGTTAACACAAGATTTCTGAGTATGCTTACTTTTCACGTTCCATGTTTCTCTAAGCTTACTGCTGCCTGGAAGTTACACCAGTAGAATCTCAATTTTGGTGAAGGATGCATATCAGGCCGAGCAGCTAAGCTGGATTGACAGCTGATGTTTTTGTTTTCATGTAGCTCCAAAATTGAAGTACTTTAGCTGTTTTCATTTCTCCCCATCTCTTTTAGTAAGCGTGTGCTCTCATTTCTGCAAATCTGAGATCTTCTAGTATATTCAGAAGGCCAGAGGAAACGCAGCTAGGCAAGTAATTTTGAAACTGTGGTTTGAATTACCTCAGTAATTTACCACTTAAAACCAGTTCACTATTTCAGTTGAAAGTAATGTTAAAACACACTGAATGATGGTTTTGGACAATACTGATTCAAGACAGTGCAGAATTAGCAGCGTTAATCAGTATTCTTGCATCTTGCTTTCTGAGATGCTTTCTTTTGCAGTTCATGCTGCCATGTTAGTATTAACACAGCAGTACTGTATGTAGGTGTGTGTCACAGCTTCCTGCAGAAAGACTTCTCTCAGCAACCTCTGGTTTAACCAACGTGGCCCTGCACCGCAGTGCAGCACAGCACCAAACGGGCTGATTTTCACTATTGTCTGCACCATCCTACATTGCCTGTCAGACATTCCTGATCAGGAGCAAGGGGAAGTGTCCTGGAGCTGCTCTTTCTCATGCAGACCTTGGAGAATTTTTTGGAACCACCTCAGTTTTTCTCTAAAACTGTTTTTGGGCAGAGGATTTCTTTTGTTTTGCTGGTGTATTTTCAATGCCCCAGTTTGTGTTTCTAGCAGCCAGCTGTCTCCTTCCGCCCTTTGAAGCCCGGTTTACTTCCTGCTGGGTGTTACAGCACTGGTTTCAAAAAGGCTTTTTTTTATTGTGTATGTGCATATATGTGTATATATATGGGTTATTCAAAAAGGCTGTTTGCTATTGCTGAGACACTGCAAGAACTCCCTCGTGGCCATCACAGGCTTTTGAAGGAAATGCATGAGGCCTCACAAGGCTCCAGTCCGTCCCTTCTCAATACATCATGGCTGTGGAGAGCCAGCCTGTCCTGTCGCTTGTGCCATTCAGGCGGGCCGTCTGCTGCAAGGGAGGCCTGCAGAGCTCTTCCCAGTCCCAAACAGCGCCCAGATGGCAGCATCCCTTCTGTACCACAGAACAGGTATGTGATCAGCGAGTGGGCACCACCCAGCTGGCGGCAGGTGAAGCTCTCATGTAGGCTGCAGGGCAAGGAAGGGGCCCCAGGGCCTGAGTAGGACAGTTGGGTTCCATTGCACAGGTGCTAGCCTCCCAGGCCCAGGCTTTTCTGCCCCAGGCTGTGTTCGCAGTGGCAGCGTGCCTGGCTGTGGCCTCCTGCAGTGACAGCCAGGCCTTGGTACCCAGCTTCATTTTCCTGCAATCTGGGCATCAGCAATCATTTCTCATCTGATTGACCAGAGCAGGTGTGTGGTACGGGCTTAGTGCTAACAAGAATAATTGTGCAGAACTTCAAAAACAACACGTGGTTATCTGGTAAACATTAGCCTCCAATTCCAGGCAAAATACAGCCCCACCATCTGCTTGGATTGCAGCACAGGGTTTGGTGAATGAAGGAAAGCCAGCTCTCAAAGTTGTGGTGTTGCCCACAGAGCTGTTTGCCTGTTTTTGGCTGATAGCACTTTATGTGCAGAGCCTGGGCGAGAACAAACCAACTCACAAAGCCACAGAGCCTGCGTGTTATGGGGTGAGCCATGTTGCCCAGCAAAAGGTGGGGGTAGTGGGGAACCATGGCTGGAGCCCTCCTTCAGGAGCACGGATTCTATAGCAGGTAATGTGTCTACCTGCTAAAAATGTCCCTCCTGTAATAGGAAGGCTGTATGCTGAAAGCTTGGAGTCGGCGCGCCGTTCCAGAGAAACCTGGAGCGCTGGGAGCGGCTGCGGTGGGGCTGCCATCCCGAGGCCCAGCGGCAGCACGCAGTGCAGCTGGGGACAGCGCTGGCATCCATTTGCATTCATGTCACAGCGCCGTGCCTAATGGCCCTCCTGCCAACCGCAGCTCAATATTCCATTTGGAGAACTTACGGAACAACTTTATTTTTTAAAAGTTTGGCGTCGCCGCTCTGCAGTGGGAAAGTGAAAAACGTGGCCAGAAGAAAGTGTTATTTCCCACATTTATTTTTCCATTTTTCTGTACCTTCTTGTCTGCTGTATCATCAGCAGCAGTTGTCACACTTTGTTCTGTGATAAAGACTGCAGAATAAAAATGTGAGAGCAGCTTATTGTGCTTTGGCACTGCGGTAGCTGCCACAGCGAGTAATGCTGGGTATCGACCAAATTTATTTGCAAGAGGTGCATTTCCTTGCATCTGAGCAGGACACGTCTGAGGGCTACCTTTTAAAGACTGACACCTTCCTGCTCAAAGCAATTCCTGCCTCCCGGCCACCGTCTGGCCGGCCTGTGGTCTGCAGATAACAACCAGTCAGGCTGTTCTGGTGCTGCACTGGGGTCTCAGACACGGCCTTAGAGGAAAAGAAGGGCCTGCCCTGGTCCAGGCATCACACCTTGCACAGTGCATGGCACTAAGCTGCGGCAGCCTCCCTGCAGCAAATCTCCTCGAGGCAGATAATCCCACGGCAAGCTGTCCCTTCCGCCCCCGGACAGACCTGAATTAGGTCAGCTGGGTTGATATCTTCTCATTTTGTTTAATACATTTTTTTTCCCCCCAATTGATACTAACGGGATTTTTTTTTTTTTTTGGTTGGTTGGTTTATTTTATTTTTATATACGTATATCTTTATATTTAATTTTTAATTTGTATTTTGCCATTCATTTAAAACCAATTTGATTTATTTTTTATTTTTCCTTTTTCTTCTTTGTTGCCTCTCTTTCGTCTTTGCCCCGTTTCTTTTTTTTTCCTTTCCTCTTTTTTCTTTTCTTACTTCTCCCTTCTTTTTCTTTCCCTCTTTTCCCTTCTATCCCTCTTTTCTTTTTCCTTCTTTTTCTTCTTTCCTTTTTCTCCTTTTTTTCCTCTTCTTTTCTTTCCATTTTTTCCTTTTTTCCCTCTTCATTTTTTCCTCTCTTTTTCTTTTATTTATTCCTTCCTTTTCCCCTATTTCTTTATTCCTTCTTTTCTTTTTTTTCCTTCCCTTTTCTCCTCGTTTTTCCCTTTCTTTTCCTTTTTCCTCGTTTCCCCTTTTTTCACTTTCCTCTTTTTTTTTTTTTTTTTTTTTTTACCCTTTTCTTCTCTTTCTGCTTCTTCTTTCTTCCCCCTTTTCCTTCCCCTTGTTTTCTCTTTTATCATATCTTCTTTTCCTCTTCTTCTTTTCTTACCCTATTCACATACTATTCGATTCGTGCTCTTATTGCTTTTATTTCATTTTTTATTCACGTCTTCCTTTGCCGCCCCCTCACTCTCGACTGCACTTCTATTTCTTACCCGCTTATTTATTTATTTACCCGCCCGCCCCCCGGCCCCGAAGGAGGCGGGGAAGGGGGAGCGGCCGAGAGCGGAGCGGGCGAGGCGCGCCGAGCCGCGGCCGATGGCAGCGGCTGCCCGTCGGCGAAGGGCAGGCGGGCGATGGCGCGGGGCCGGGCGGCTTACGAGTACACGGAGGCGGAGGACAAGAGCATGCGGCTGGGCTTCCTGCTCATCGCCGCCGGGCTGCTCTCGCTGCTGGGGTTGGGCTGCTGCTGGCTGCGCCCGGCGCTGCAGGAGCGGGGCGGCGGCGGCGCCGCCAACTGCACGGTGCTGGCGGTGCGGCAGCTGGGCGAGCGCTTCGCCTGCACCTTCTCGTGCGGGGCCGCCTGCCGGGGCACCGCCCGCTACCCCTGCCTGCAGGTGCTGGTGCGCACCTCCCGCTCCTCCGCGCCCGCGCTGCTGCACGAGGACGAGCGGCAGCTCCGCACCAACCCCAAGGTGAGCGCGGGGCGGGCCCCGCTCGGAGCCGCGCTTGGCGGGTGGGGACGGGGAGGCTGCGGGCGCCGAAGTGGAAGTTTCCTCGGTGCCGCTCAACTTCTGCATCAGCCCTAGTGGAGAAGTTGCAGCCTCCGGCCAGCCCGGACAGCGTTGTTCCTTCTTTCGGGGCGGACGCTCGTTTTGCCTTTTAATGCCGGGCGAGGAGGAGGTGCGCTTAAATGGTTTCCAGAAGACCCCGCGTTTCCCACTCCGCGTCCCAGATGAGCTCGCGATCGGGTCCGCGGAGCCCCGCCGGGCTGGGCTCAGCGCTGGCAGCCGGCGCGCGTCCCGAGGCTGCCGCAGCGGTGCGGCTCCGGCCGTCGGGCTGCGCGGCCGGGCTCCGGGCGTCGCTTTTTGGCCCTCGGTGTCTTTGCGGGCGCGTAGCAGGCGTGGGTGAAAAGTCAGCGGAGCGGGAAGCGGGAGGGTAAATCTGACGGGGTTTGGGTTGAGTGGTTGGCACCGCGGTGAGGCTGCGGGGCTGGGGCGGTGTGGGAGCTCTGCAAACTTCTCCCTTCCCGAGGTGCTGTTGCCCGTTGACTCCACGATCCCGCCTTCTCCCGCCCTTCTGGAAGCCTGACTGGAACTCGGAACCCCGTTTGGCCTCTCCGGTTTGGGCTGAACCCGGCTGACCAGCCGAGACCGAGCAGGAAGGATGTAGTTTTGATGTGATTGCGTTCATTGGTTGAAACTGAGTTTAACTGAGTGGAAAAGAACATAGAAAGAAACACTGTCCAACTATTTTTCCTTACCTATGCAATACCAATACAAAATGAGAATGAAAGTGCTTTAGGTCCCATTAGGAAAATGTATCCTCTTAAAGGAGATGGAGGATGTGTTCCGTGCTTTGGTTTCGTTCTCCTGGATTCAAGCCTGTCTGGCAGAGTGCTTACAGGCTTCTTCTTATTTGTGTCCTAAACTATTGCTCTCTTTGAGAGCTTTCAGAATTTGGTGCTAAAACAGATTGGACGTAACAACAGGCTGGGAATCTGCTGCGTTTCCTGATTAGGGCCCATTTATGAGCAAGCACCTGTGGAGCCTTTTAACCCTTCCTGCCTGCCCTCCTCCTGTAGCACACCCATACATGTTAACGGAATGAAGCACACAGCATGCTGATCAGCTCCCAGGTAGGAGGGCAAAAAAAGCACCAACAGTTCTCTTTTGGAGGGTCTCGGTGTTCTCCATTCCATTTGGCTGCTTCTCCTCATAGGGTGGCTCTGTTGTTGTTGTTAAAGCAGTAGTGTGACAAATGCATATTTTTTGTTGTAACACACAACTGTACCAAGCTGGCCACTAGCTGCACCCCCCACAGAAACATCCCCCATCCTTCAGATGAAAACTACTTTCTGTAGTAGAGTGGGCTGGTGTGTAAATGCATCTTTCTGTCTTTGTGAGCCTCAGCTGCAAGACTTTTTTTTTTTTTCCTCCTGCTTCCTGGGATGATCGCATTGCTCTATGGCCCAGGATTCATTTTGGCTCTTAAAAGATTATGTAGCTGGGTCAGAGTTAATCCAGAAATGTATATATGAAGCACTGCACGCGATTACATTTTGCTTTGAGAGATTTGTGGATTTCCTTTTTTTTTTTTTTTTTTTTTTTTTTTTGTCTCAGAGGAAGAAATCTCAGTGGAGAGGCGGTAGCCTTTCTTCAGCTGCTTTGATAGCAATAATCATCTCCGAGATAAGGCTTAAGGGGGATTAATTGAGAAGTCAGTTTGTCGCTGACATCCTGGCCGTGGAGCGAGACGTCTTCCACGGAGCTTGTGGCAGCACACACAGCAGCGATGGGCTGGGCTGTGGGTTCAGCTAGGCAGTATGATGTAGGATCTGCTGTCCTGCTTTCAGACTTCTCCTTACAGTCAAGCACTGTTCTGGAAGATCATGCTGCTCGGTGCTGCTGAGAGGACGTGGGACAGGTCTAGAGCCCGGGGATGTAATTTTCAGCGCTTATGCACCTCTGCTCCTACCAGCAAAGACGATCAGAGCAGCCCTTCCTTACTCTCAGGCCATGAAGACAACCCAGAAATGTGAGGGAATGCTTGCACAACAAGTTTGGAGAAACTCATCAGGAATCAAACTGTTAGCGTAAGAGGTGTGTTGTACTTTTCCAGAGATACTTACCAAGAGCATATTTATACAAGCAAAGCTAAACAGGGACTTGTTATCATCTAACTTTTAAGACAGAGAGGTGGAACTGGGAGGACATGATGTCTGCTTCATGCCAGCACAGCAGTTTGGTGATGGGGTTGGGATTCCTCCGGGGATGCTCCGATGGGCTTGAGTCATTGGCCACCCAGCTGGCTCAAAGAGCTGGGGTAGATGAGTGGTCTGGTGCTGGCACAGCTCCCACTGGGGACACTAGGTGGGAGTAGGGACTTTGCCTGGAACGTGATTTCATCCACTTGCTGTTGTCCTCAACCTGAATCCATTTCACCACAAGCTTCCCAAACTGAGATGCCAGGTTGTCTGCCATCCTCAGCAAACAGGACATGCTGCAGTTTGCCATTTGCCAAGGAAGACAGTCCTTGATGAGGCTCTTGGAGATGAAGGCCAGAGGTTTGCTCCTTCTTTTGCTGTCAGTTTGTCTTTAACTTGCTTCTGCTTTGGGCCCTAGCATCTGTTTGTGCTTGAGATTTTCTTGGCCTCTTCATGCAGGCAATGTCTTCTAGGATTGAGACAACTCTCCTCAGGGCTTACCAGGTCTGGCTTCTTTTTATAAAAACGTTACTGATTTAGGCAAGAACTGATCTTTGAAAGTATGAAATGCAAGCTGGAAGCTAATCCAGGGCTCATACCTCTGCCTCTCCTCCATTATGTGCTCCAGCGAAGCATTCAAAACAGCCAGGAGTCTTTTCAGGCATCTGCAGAGACGCTGGTGGGGGAGCATCACACTAGACACAAAGCTTACTAGAACAGTGGTGTGAAGTTGTATTAGCTGCTCTCTGACATTTTTACTGAATTGAATCCTGATTCATCTATTCAAACAGCAGCTTTGACTGAAGAGTGAATATGATTAACTTAGTACTGATTTTGAGCTGCGTAATTGAGACTGCGTTTAAATTGCATAATAATGTTATTGTTGCTGTGATATAGTGTAGGAGGTGCACCATGTACTGATGGATCCTATGAAAAGCTCTCCACATCGTTAGGTTTATTCTGAATGTCTAATCTTAAGTGCTGTTCTCCAACTTCTTTGTGACTGGCTTAAGAAAAAACATCGAAGTATTATAGGGTGGGACCCTTCCACTGAAAATGGATGTCACTTCTTGGGCTGCAATTAAGTGCAAGGCATCCTAGCCTGCTTTCAGACACTTGCCATTTAGTTATATTTTGATGGTAGGATTTCACACTGTGTACTGTGGGGGAAGGACTGCGGAATTAACCTTTCAGAAACTGCCTGTTGCCAAAGCTGGAGGTCATCCCAGGTTCACCTACCAGCTCATGGCAGTGGAAGTTGCCAGATTATTTTGCCCTTCTATCCTCATGCTGACAGTGCTTTGGAGGGCGATGCAGCTGATCAAGTAAAGTGCCCAACAAGTGTGCTTGGGAGGCTGAAAAAAGAAAGCTTCACCACCTACGTGGGTCGGAAGGAGCCAAAATGAACACTAGGTTAGTGAGAACTATTGATGGCGCGCCGAGGAAGAAAACAAGCTCCAGTGTCTGTGCAGCAGGTGATAAATACAGTTTGGGGTTGGACCTAAGCTGTTGCCCACTGCTCAGGGCCTTTACTGGGTTGAGAAGATGTATCAGGAGGACCCATAGGATTCATATGATGACAATTCTTCCTCAGGTAGGGGCAGGTCCTTTCTTTGAGATTGTCGTTTCTCAAGAGATTCAACCAATGAAGTCCCAGTGATTTATGACAAGTTTCCATCTGTTTCCTTTGTGTTTTTTTCCCCATGAAGATACAGAGAGAAGAGACAGAAACAGATCTGGTGTGTTTTCAGATCAAGATAAAAGAACGGGAACTGCTGTAAAAAAAAAAACAAAACAAAATAAAACAAACAAACAAAACCAAACAAAACAAAAACACAAGCAACAGAAAAGTCCTCTGCGATGAGTCTGCCCTTGGAGACTGCAACAGCTGCTTGTCCATTCTGATAGACTTCTCTTGGAGATCTCTGCAGTTGTTCTTAAGTATGAAATTCAGGATGGGGATAAAGAATATTTCACCAGATTGTGGAGCTTGTGACAGATTCACAAGTTATCTGGGGGACGTGGAAGGTCTTTGCAGGATCCAGAGAAAGTTTTACCAGCAAAGGTGGTCTTACTGCCCATGCCTTATGTTACCTGGGGATAAGTTCAGCTGTGTTACTCAGGTTGGTTCAGCATCTCCTGTAATGATCTCTTGTCTGGTAATGACAGGAGGAATTCTGCCTGGACACTGATATTTCAATACTGCCACTCTTGGATTCAGTTTGTATTTTCTTGTTGAATTCCCTGTGGCTGGAAGGGAAGAGTGGTGTGCCAAAGGCAAACAGTCCTGGGCAGTCTGCTCTAGGCAACCCTGCTTGAGCAGGGAGGTTGGATCAGATGGCCTCCAGAGGACCCTGCCAACCTCAGCCATCCATCCTGTGATTTTGTGAACAACACCACTTGGAAACAATGTAGGAGTGTTGGGACTGACCCAGGGCTGAATCTCTGAAAGCCCAGTCTCAAGAGAGCTGTGACTGGGGAGAGACTGCCCTTGATCTCCTGGGGCTTTGAAGCAGATATCCAAAGCCAGGAGCCGGGATCTCAATGGCTGACTTCTCTGTGGTAGAAGCAGACACTGAACTGCCCTGCTAAGGTGAGCCTTTGAACTTTCAGTGCTGCTTTTTGCTCATGTTGTATTAAGTAGCATTGAAAGTCTTTTGTGCCAAAGAATATCAGCTAGATACTAGATATCTCATCATCTGGAATTTGCTGGAATATTTGATTGTTTCCATGTTCATCACGACAACAAAACAAGCCAAATACCCATAGGTGTTACATGGCAGGTTGGTTTGGTAACAGAACAAAACATGATACATTTAAGGAACATTTGGATTTTGTGTTGAGGGACATGGTTAATGAGTACACAGGTGGATGGTTGGACTGGATGATCTTGGAGGTCTTTTCTGACCTTGGTGATTCTGTGAGAAATCTTTGATATTGTTTCTGAATGTTTCTGAATTCTTTTTCAATACCTGCAGGGTGCAACTAGCAAGTCAAGTGAACTTCAGCTTACTTACTGGTTTTCTTTCTTGGGAGCTTGTACTATTTTTTTCTCTGCCCATTTCAATAGTGTTGGCATTAAGAGAAAAATGCGGAGAAAGTGATGCCTGGTGTTCTCAAGCACAGAAGTAACTCTGTTTTGCTGCGTGTGTTGACAGTGTTCCTACATCCCTCCCTGTGCCAGAGATGATCAGGAGAACTCTGAGAATGTCACGTACAAGCAGAAATACTGGAAAGAGAAAGTGGGTTCACAGCCATTTACATGCTATTTTAACCAGCACTTGAGGTAAGTAATGTACGTTTGCATAGGTGGAAGTGCTTATATATCTGTTTAGCAACTGTTCTCTTCGTTCTTTCTGCACAATATGTATGTACATACAAGTAGTGATGAGGCTTAATGCAAGGAGTTTTGTGCAAGACAGCTCTATTGGTGAAAAGCTATGTGGGAATGGAAAAGCATTTTTACCACTTGAGATAAAAATACAAAGCTCTAAGGAAAGTTCCCTTTAAATCATGCAGTACTGTGGCAAAAAGCATCCTTTTTAGTGCCTTGATGGCAAATTGCTGGGTATTTAGTTCTTTACCTCAAGGAGAGAGAAACCCTCTTGTGTTCATGAGGGGCTGGAAGAAAAAGAGAGACCAGTACAGGAACTGTGTTCATAGTGGATTAATAGGTCAGATACATTCAATAAATATTCATGGAACTTTCAGTTTTCACACATGCTTGGAAAGTAAACAGCTGTAACTCAAAGTATCACCGCTTCTGTTTTATTCTTCCTATTACTCCTGATGCTGGTGTGACTTGCATGAACACAGGGTCACACATCTGGTCTCCTTCCTTCAGTTATGAGGAAAAGGGGGGAAGCACTCTTGCTCGCTTTGTTCTGGTGGTGATGTGAGGGCTGTGATGTGACAGTGCTGTGGGGGCTGGAACTGACTGTACCCACAGTGTGCAGAGTAATTGGAGGAATCTGAGAGAATGGCAATGAAGGGGATGACAGGTCCATATAGATGAGGAAGTGGAAAGAAAATACTTCAGGTCTCCAGGTCAGCCAAGGTTTTGTGGCTTAGTTTCCAGTTGCAGAAGGATCTGGCATGGAGAACTGAAGCAAGCTGGCAGACACTGAGGGGCCTGACTCCTCTGGGCAGTCTGCTGGACACCTCAGGCCTTCAGGTTCCTCCTATTCTGGCTATGGCTGTCGTCCCCTCCCTGCTGAGACTGCAGGCCTAGTTGGCATGCCCAGGAGAACAGTCTGTTGTCTCCAGCCAGCTTTTTGCTTGGGGGAACCACCTGTGCCTAGTAGCAAAATCTGGTTGTTTCTTATGGTAGGGGCTAAATACTGTCCAGAGCCTGCAGGTTGGGGTGTGTGCTAAGGACTAGTGACTCAGGATCCCCTGTGCAGTGGTATCACACCTGGTCTGGCCTTTGCTTGGGTCAGCTTTGGTCCACAGGATGTGCCAAAAAGCTGCTCGGCCCTGCTGACCAGGAGCTGAGCAGTGGCTTTGGCTTCACCAGGCAGGGGATGCTCAGATCCTCTGCAGGCGACATCGTGAATGGCATTCATCCGAGACAGCCGGTGAGATGCTTTGAAAGTTAGCTGTTAGTGACAGAGGAGAGAAATGGGATCTTTAAGTCTCACTCAAAATAAATGCCTGACATATGCTGGGTGTTTGTCTCTCTCCTGTAGGGAGCTCAGGGCGATATGCCCAGGTGCAGACACCCAGGTGGTGTCCTGGGCTGGGTGAGCTGATTCTCATGTCACATCTGCAGGCGAGGCTGAGGCAAAGTTATCAGAGGCTGTGTGCTGCTTAAGCTCTGCCATTTGTTCTGTGCAGCACTTGGGCAAGGTTTTTTTCCTTATATTTGCTGAGTCCTGTATTGTTAAATGTTATTGCCAAATGTTATGGCTGCCTTGAAGTGCTACTTTTTTTTTGATTGTACAGCAATTTATATGCAGCAGAAGAAAGGCTCGCAGCCAGAGATACTTGAAGATAGTCTAGGCTGAAATGTGTACACCATCTATTTTCTTCTGGAGATAGGAATGAGCTTTGAAAGTTATGTTTTGCTGACTCTAAGGGCGCTTGCCTAGGTATACTTTTGGAGCTATGATAATTAAAGAGCTTGCCAAGCAGGAAAAATCATACAAACAGAGGGAAAAATATGTTCACTTCAGGAAAGAAATGTGCAGATCTTTTGTCAGCATTTTTTGAACTGTGTGCTGCAGTAAACTGCTCCTTGTCATCTGCCTAAGACGTGTAGAATATAAGTGGTAGGACCCCTAGATAGAGTAGTATTTGCAGTATCAGTGGCTTTTTGAAAGGGTAGAATAAAATTCTAGAGAAATGAATTGGCATCATCTCCTCTTCATAAAATTTAATTTGGTAATGCTGTCAGAATTGTTACTGCGTGTGGAGCTCACTGTTGGGCATCTCCTGTAGGCTGGTGGGGCATGCTTCAATCAGTTTGAGAAGAAAGACGTGTGGACACGGTGCTAAGGGGCGTGGTGTGGTGGTGGGACTTGATAGGTTATGTCCATGGTGGGACTCTGTGATCTTGATGGTCTTTTCCAACCTAGACGATTCTGTGACTAATTTCTTCAGGTTATAGATCTCATTGATACCAATCACAATGACAAAAAGTAATAAACAAAGATCTCCATCAGCTCAGAGCCCTCGATCTCGTGCCATGCAGAGATAGACAAAGGAACATATGTCAATTTAAATGATATTATTGATCTTCAGCTCTAGGCTCATCCATTATAGCAAGAACATACTGTGATTGCTTTTCTGCAGAGTAGTTTATACCTCTCAATGTTGCTTGGTGCTGCACACAAATTCACATCAAATTTGAAGAGCAAATGGTAGTGACTAGTGAGTAGTGATGATCTGTATGGTGGTGAGCATACACCGTAGGCTATTTACCTGGGAATAATTCTCTGCAGAAGCCACGGGTGCTGTAACCACAGGGCTGCTCATCCATATAGGGTGGAATATAAATCTTGTTCTGCTTTGGTACACACACAGTTCTCTTAATTAATTCCCTGCAGTTAGAAGACAGTGTTGCTATTTCCTATCCTTTCTTCCACTGTGTCATTCGTGGAGCTGTGCTCAGGCCAGGAGGCCAGGAAGGCTCTGCCCCTGCCTGTGGCATGCCAAGGCCTTGCAGCAACGGAAAAAGCACTAACGAGTGCTTGTTGTAATGAAGCTGAAGGCATTGAACCTTTGTGGGCAACATGAGTGCGTGCAGATTGCATATATTTAAAGATGTAGGCAGACATCTTTGAATACAAAAAATGTACGTAAAATTTCCTTATCCCACACCCCCACTTCTGTGCCTTCTGCTGTGTCACAGAAATTCCACAGTGTAGTAAATAAATGATAACGGAGGCATTTACATGCCTGTAGATTTTTGGTCCTGCATGACTTTCTGGTAACCTCTGCAAGCAGTTCTCTGCATGATGTGTGGTAATTGCTCCATGGGGTGTGGTGGAGATCTGCTTCACTCAGTGCCCGTTCATCCAGGCAGCCCTGCTCAGGGGCAGAGAGGCTATGACCCTGAGCAAGAAGTCCTCCTAAAAATTAATGCTGTTTTGCCTTTTTACAACGAATACAGATTTCTGCCTTCCTTGTCTGGGCAGTAAAAGGGGAAGTTATGCTTTCAGAGTTAAAGTTGAGATGTGTGTAGGTTTTCTTGGTTGTGTTGGTGGTGCTGTGCAGTGTTAGCCACTGTAGGAGCAGTACCACATCTTTACAGTGTGCACTGTCTGCAGAGATGCTGTGAGCAGTTAACAGGGAATTGTTTCTTACTTTCTATAAAGTATGACCCAAGAACTGCTGCTGCAACTACTGTTAATAGTAATATACAAGTAAAACCAGCAATAATACTGAAACTCCACTAATTTCACACCTATTTTCCAAAAGGAAAGAGCTGCAGCCTCACCTGCAAATGAGGGTTGGAATCCATCACTGCAGTCACATCAGATATTTTCCTGAATCTCTTCAGATATAATTAAAAGGATATCTTGCTCTCCCCAGCCACATTTTCTTTCTTTAATTTAATCCAATTTTCTAGTTTATTGGTGTGCCTTTTGTTTTTGAACTCTTTGTTTAGTATACACTTTTTTAAAAAAGCACAAACTTAAAATTCAGTGACTCTTGCAAGTTTAGAGCAGAGACAACTCAGTGCTGTCTATTTATGGTCAATTAGCACTCTGTTAATCACAGGTGATGAAAACATGCATACAGTGAACAGAAGGTAAGCAGCACTGTGCCTCCCAGGAAACAATTTTTGTTTGGGTACTGCCATTAGGGTGGCATAGATGGTGAGTCTGTGCACACTGTGTTATTTTATTCAAATTGCAGTCTCCACATGTGCCTGATGATGTGTTTGGAGGATTTCAGCTGAGCAGACTTCACATCTCTGCTGTTGAATGCACCTGGATTTCTTTTGATCAATTTTTATGTAGCTGAGCGCCAGCTTTTATGTAGCCAAGCTGCTCATGACCACTGTTGGTAGCACAGAGATGCTGGTGTCTGCCAATGTGCAGGCATCTTTAGTTTCTTGGTGCAGCAGGAGGGGGTTCTCTCTGTTTCCCCTGGAAGGAGGTGGTTCCTCAGGGCTGCATTCTGGGTGGGATGGAGTTATTGTGGGAGAGGTGCTGCAGCCACTGCACCAGTGGCTGTTCCTGCCCGTGGCCATGCTTAGTTCTTGGGGGCAGGAGAGAGAGCCCACTGCTGGTCTGACAAAGCTAGGACCAACGGTGTGTATTTTCCTAACTGGAAAAAGTTTGCTTGCTTCCTTTGCAGATGGTGTTCCAGCAGTCTGCCCGTATCTGGCTGGAGCTGGGAAAGCAGCCAGAAAGTGCAAATGCTATGAGACTGACTTAATGACTCTGTTAAGCTGCAGGGAAAGCAGGCAGAGCTAGGGCTGAGAACCTGCCTGCACGGGCCCACACCGTCTACCAGGCTCGTGGGAAGCAGGTGGGCACTGAGCTGTCAGACACTTGGCCTGGCTCAATTCCCACTGAATTCTCTGGAACACCTCCTCCTTGCTCCCCTCCTCTCTGCTCCCTCTGGGGACGGATATGTCAACCACGCGGCTGTCCTAGCTACCACTGCACAGCTTTGTGGGACAGGTCTTGGCCGGTCCCTATAGGGCCTCTTGGGATGTGCTCAGGCCTTTCGCCGCTTCACCTGGAGCACAGCCAGGGCTCACAGCTGGGAGAGGAGCTGTAATCGCACCTGGAATTCCTCATGCAGTGTCTGAGGCCGTTTCAGTTAGAAATATGCACATAAGATGACTTTATTGCTTCCACACCATTCCATTGGCGCCGGGTGGGTTCACGCTCCTTCCCTTTGCAGGCCAGACGACGTCATGCTGAAGCGCACCCATGATGAGACCGTCCTCTTGCACTGCTTCCTCTGGCCGCTGGTCACCTTCCTGGTGGGCGTCCTCATCGTGGCGCTGACCGCCTGTGCCCGCAGCCTGGCTGCCAGGGCAGAGGCCATCCAGAGGAAGAAGCACTTGTAGCGGGGCTGCGGGGATGGAGGCCGCCAGGGAACCTCGTTCACGTGGGAAGGCTCAGAGCACTGTGAAGCTTGGCACCGTGCGTCCCGGCTGGTGGCAGAGCTGCTCCTGCCAGAGAGTTAATCTTGGGAGCCTACTCTGCCCAGTACCAGCTAGCTGCTTCCTCTGCTGTGGCAGTAAATAATTACCTGCTACCAAATCTCCACACTGCACCAACACACTGTGCTCTGTCTGCCCTCACCGGCAGCTGCCCGGCTCATAGCGGTGTTGAGAGACAATTTCTGAAAACACTGACACGGCTCATTTATTCTCTGCAAAGTGATCTTTGCTATTGTTTAATATCGAATATTTAAAATAATTTCCTTTATGATATAGACTGTATTTCCAAAGTAATAAAGTTTGGCTCTTTTGTTTTTACATCTTTGTTTTCTCTTTAAAAACAAACAAAAATGGTTATGACAAAGATACTGCTCTGCTTACTATTTGTCACTGAGTAGAAAACCTTCGCTTTAAAACTCATACTTTCACTTCTATCCAGATGAAATCCATCATCACCACCTGCTCAGAGCAAGGAAATGTAAAAACCTCCCAGAAATATTTATCTGAAAAACAATTACTGGAAGAGGCAATGAATCAGGCTGGAAAAGGTACTGGATCTGACCTAATTGCTTCAGCTGTATTCAGTCCCTACAGCTTTTCTTGTCCCCTCTCTGTCATGCCAGGATGCTCCCAGGCTCTTAGGAACTGCAGTGGTGTTTGGTGTGGTTGTACCTAACTGTTATCAGAGCTTCTCCAACCAGCATGCTGCAAGGGACTGCTGGAGCATCACCTGGGCCCTGCCTGCTGTGGGATGCCTGCTGCTTGGAAGGGACTGTCCCACTGAAATGCACTGCCAGGATGAGCAGAGCTGCTGAGCTCCCTCAGCGCGCTCTCACATTCTCTGTGATCGTGAAACATCACCCACATGCACGTGGTTTCAGGTTTGGTTGCCTATTTTTTTTCCCAAATTCAATAGTTGGTAACTTCTCACAGGTACAGGGAAAGGCTGTGGTTTTCTACCTGACTGTATTTCCCTGTTTTCCCAAAGGAGGAGGTGTGTGGTGACACAGATTGTCTCAGACTGCCAAGCCAGTAGCAGGGAGCTCACAAATCCAGATTAACAAAATCCTCTCTGTCTGTGCTCCAGAAGCTTTTGTGCCTGGTTTGCGTGGCCAGTTCTCTGTGTAGAGAGCAAGAAGTGAATTGAGCTCATGAATCTCACTCCATCAGACATCGTGTCCCCAAATGGGGTGGAAATGTGGCGGGGCTTCTGGAAGTAAGTAATGTTTACAGGGATGACACTGCAGAGAGTTTAACAATCTCCTCAAGTTAAACATCACAACTGACACACCTCTGCTGTGCCGGGATGTGATGCTGAGGAAGAACCACTGAAATTCACTCTTCTGCTGCAGCAGTCTGTGCTTTGTTGGTTCAGACAAGTCCTTCTAATCCCCGTGCTTGGTGGAAGCCGGGGATTTCCTTCCAGAGGATTATTCGCTGATTCCCCTTTGTATGTTTTCAGCTTTTATGGTGTATTCTCTGAAGTGTCTGCTCAGCCACACATCTGCTCTCCTCAGAGCCATCCACAGAGCTGATTTCTGCATGTATTCAATATTTATGCGTTCTTGCTTTGAGGAGTTTAGTTCCATCATGCTCTCTGTCTCTCAGCGTTAGCAAGCCTTGCTTTCCCTTCCACTCAGAGCAATTAAACCGGTTTGTTGGCACAGCATCTTTCTCTGATCACTTCTTAGGAGCCAGAGTCCCTGCAGTGCTGTCAGTCTGTCTGTCTGCTGAGTGCTTTGTCCCATTGGGACCACACAGCTCTGTTGGCACCCCAGGCCCTGGCACCAGCGCAGCCAACCCTTGTGGGTTGTCTCTCTGAGTGCTGGTGCGAGAGGTGAAGGGGAAAATTGGCCAGTCCTTAAAACCTTTTACAGGTAAGATGCTATCCAAGGAGGGAGGAATACTGAGGATATGTGTAATGCCTGTTGCTTGGAGTCTTACTGGAAGCTGCTCAGCAGTGCAAATGCAGGAGCTGGCCAGTGACCCAATGTACCTGCTGACTGCAGACAAAAGGGCCAGAACTACTTTAAAGACTGAAGTGACCACATGGAAGAGGATAGTGGCAGAACAAGGGAAAATAGCTTTATACAAAGAGAGGAGAGATTTAGGTTAGATGTTAAGAGGAAATTCTTCACTCAGAGAGTGATGAGGCACTGGCACAGGCTGCCTGGAGAAGCTGTGGTGCCCCATCCCTGGTGGCATTCAAGGCCAGGTTAAGTGAGATCCTGGGCAGCCTGAGCTGGTGTGTGGCAACCAACCCACAGCAGGGGGATTGGAACTGGGTGATCTTTAAAGTCCCCTCCAACCTAAGCCATTCGATGATTTTGTGATTCCACAAATGTGAAATTTTGCTGCAATATACGTTGGCAAAGCAGTAAATTGCACACAACTCTCACATCTACAGTTCTACAGCACAATTTCCAAACAGTGTGTAGTGCATACAGCAATCCATTTGCAATAACTTTCCCAGAAATGCTATGAGAGTTGCTTGAATCACCTTTATATTGCTTAAAAAAAAAAAAAAAAGTAATCTGCCTGTAACTTAATTTAATGAGCTCATGCCACGTCAAGCATAAATTCACACAACAGACTTTTTGACTATATTTGCATGCCAACTGCCATTCACCAGAAGTAGTAGGAAAAAACAAATATTAAGCTTTTTGTACAACTGCTTGTTCAGCTGACAGCAGCAGCTGGATTCTGGGCTAAACACACCCGGCACCCCAGGAGCCTAGCATCCAGGTGGCTTGAAAGGAGCCTCATCAGAGATAGCTCAAGAAAAGATGCAAGCAGGCAGCATATTGTTCCAAACCCCTCTGGAGTGCCATTTTTAGGCAATTCCCACTCCTTCAGCTCATGATTAAGGGAAATCCAGAGCTCAGATGAGGAGCAGCCTCCAGCCATGCCCTGCAGAGCATAGGCAGACGGTGAGGCTGGGTGTCCTTGATACACACCCACCTCCCGGAGGCAGCCTCAGCTCCACACTGCCTCTGGGATGCAGAACTTAATGTCTGCTGGGGACCAAATATCAGGCCCATGCCCAAGGTAGCGGCTGCAGCATGAAAGAGAGGCTTGGGGCCATCGAGGAGACTGCTTTCATTTGGGGGTGAAAATGAAATTTTGGAGGGATGTAGGTTTGGCAGCCTTCTACACAATTATGAAGGCTGAACTGTCTTATTTGGCACTATTCCTCTGAAGAGCAGTGACTGAGGCAATTAAAAGCTACCGCAAGGCTGTTTTGAGGCCGGGGGGAAGTTTGGAAGGACTCGATATCCACTGGTCACTATGTCCAAATGTCAGGTAGCCTTGATCCCAGCAACCTATTTCTTTTTTTTTTTTTTCCCCCTCAAATATCAACCTGATACAAATAATCCAGCTTCAGGAAATAAATGGCTAGCTTTTGTTGATGGATTTTTGATGCATTCATTTTCAATCGTTATTGAAGACATCGAGTGTATGCTACGAACCTAAAAGCATCCAGATGAATGCATCCCAGGCAGTAAGTGGTTTTGCTTAAAAGCAAATAGCGTTCTGTGAACTTTGCTACTTTTTTACAGTCAAACTGGAGACTGATGGAGACATACGGGAAGTAATACAGCACAGTGAGCATTTTTAAATAATGCATCCAGATTTCATTTAAGAAATTAATTTGTATCAGAGTGGCAACAAGCTCAGGGAGATTGAATATGGGCTGAGGAGCTGTCAGTACACAACATTACATGGGTTGGTAGACTGGATGGGTTAGGTTAAACCTGGTGTAGTGGAGGTGTCCCTGCCCATAGCAGGAGGTTGGAACTAGATGATCTTCAAGGTCTCTTCCAACCCAAACCATTCTATGATTCATATTCATATATTCAACTATTTGAAAGGGTAGACAGCAGCAGGACAAGGGGAAATGGTTTTAAGTTGAAGGAGGGAAGATTTAGGTTGGATGTCAGGGGGAAGTTCTCTACTGTGAGAGTGGTGAGGTGCTGGAACAGGCTGCCCAGAGAGGCTGTGGATGCCCTGTCCCTGGAGGTGTTCAAGGCCAGATTGGATGAGCCTGGTCTAGTATTAAATTGGGATTCTTTTGGCCCTGTCTGTGATGGGGGAGTTGGAGATTCATGATCCTTGAGGTCCCTTCCAACCAGGCCATTCTGTGTGTGAATCTGTGTGTGATTCTACAGGTTGGGCACCGCTTCTTTCTGCCCTTCTGCTGCTGGGGTGCTACATGTGCCCCAGCTTCGCTGTTCTGCTTCCTTCCCAAGCAGCAGCCTTTTTCCAGGCATGCACACACTCACACATACTGTGCAGTAGAGGTTTACTGAACTCATCATTATTCTGTATTCACACACACTGAGCAGTGTCCCTTAGTAATTAGCTTTATAATGATCTACAACCATTTGTACCAACTTGCACCCCTCCTTGTTGTGTTGTTCTCTGTCACTCCTGCCTAACGCTCCTTAATCTGCACTTTCAAGGTTGCTTTTATTGATAGCCAAGATGAAAATGCAAAACACAAAGCAAAATGCCAAGTTGATTAGTATCATATTTATTTTGCAAAGACAGATTGCAGATCACTTTATTTGGTATACATTCTGTGCTCCACTATGTAACCTTGAAGACTGTGTTGCCAAGTCAAGCATTGCTATTAGGATTGCTCATTATGTAGCTCAGTGTTCTGACAATTTGGCCCTCTGATTTAAGTAGTACCTATTGCACCCTATGAAATGTGCAAAAAAAGACCCACACAAGAAGTGCTGCAGCCTTCCTGGCAAGAAATGGTTTGCTTCCCCTTTCAGGAGAGTGCATTTCTGGCAAATGTGCTGTATTAAAACCTGCTCTGTCCTTGGGTGAGAAAGAAGAAGGCTGGCAGCATGGTTATTATTAGTAGCTTCTCTCAAGTAGAGATTTTAATTGGTCTGTAGAAGTCTCCACACATCCCAGGAGGTGAGCAGTTCTTTTACAGGCAGCTGAACCTCTGTGTTCAGGGGTTAGGTGCTGTGTGCATGGCTGTGCCATGAAATAGCAGCCAAGATGGACACAAACGCAGCGATCCCAGTTTCCCAACCCCTATCCCAACAGGTGGAAAGATCTGCAGAAATAGGCATGCAGTGCAGTGGGATGCAGTATTTCTCCTGCTCCGCCGCCCCGTGAGGTGCTCCAGCAGAGCTGTGCCCACAGGCACGTGACGGCAGCTGCCTCCCTGCCACCTCCAGCATTGCCCCACGCTGTTCAACTGAACAATGCCTTCATATGCTGAACTAATTTTCTTTCAACTCCACGCA